CAGAGTTTGAATATGATTTCCCCTCGGTTTCAAATATTTTCATTATCCCATTTAACTTCTTTCCTAATATTCGATGTTATGCTTTTCATTTATTTCTGTATTTTTCTTGATTTAACAACCAATGTCAAAGTTCAGTGTGTAAGGTACAGCGGTACACTTGCGGATGCTTCTTATTACGATAAAACTCTCTTGTCTTTGTTTCGAATCTGAGTCCGATCATACAGGTTTACTTCCGAACGGCGAGGAAAATTTTCAGTATTTCTAGTAATGTTTTTAACCTGTGGCCAGAATAAACAGAGTGCGAGCAGACCATTAAATATCGCAATAAAAAGAAGTTACCTTTCAGTGCACAAATATTCAAATTCAAAGACGTTTTGTTGTTAAGTAAGCAAGGCAGTTACATTTGAAGATCGAAAGGTGAGGCAATCGATCAAGAGTATAATAGTCTTTCATACACTTACCAACTTATTTCAGCATACATTATCTCGATTAAATCGCATATACAATACACCTACATCGGCAGACATTTTAAAAAGCGAATCTTCCACGCTAATGAATAAAAAACGGACCATATGCCATAGTGAGTGGAGGAGTATTGACTAAATAATTAACATTTTTTAAAGGAAACATTCTTCATTTTTTTTTTACCTAAATAAATACAATTTCTAACGTCACAAATCGCGGGAACCCAGCATTTACATAAATCAAACTGCTTTAGATGACCTACAATGTTATGTTTACTTCGGGCAAGAAATATGTTTTCCATTGTTCACTGAAGAATCCCAAGACTTGCAAGACAAGGATCAGAGTGGTACTGCCTTATCACAGCTTGTTTGTCTGTCTGTAACATAGCCGGCGGCACACTTAGAAAATTTGAGGCCCTTTTAGTTCCAAAAACACCAAGTGCTGCCTGCTTGTATCTCTCCTCGTAAGTTTTCGCTTGCTCTCCCTCGCGTTCATAGGTAATTAAAATTTCTGGCGTCAAATAAGTCATGTTTTTTCTCCTGCTTTTTCCTGTTGTGTTGTTGTAGCCTCCATTCTCTGGGCTCTCTATTAAAGCATCTGGTATCTCTCCTTCACTCTTTGAACACAACATAATTCATCAGTCATTTCAGGGAAACCTTTGCATTTAACTTGTACTCAAGAAAAACTGTCGTAGCCGACTTTACCGAATGATTTAAAGAGAAATTCAAGACCTTGACGATCGAGCTACGAGTCGGTGATAAGGACGTTTCCTAACAACACAACAACTACTGGTGAATAAGGCTTGGAAAGGGTTCTATTTATATAGAGCATGAACATGAACAATTCATGTCATGACTTCCGAAAGCGCGTCTGTTCACTTGCGAAAAAGCGCGAAAATTCCCCGACCTCACCCGAAGTTGTGACGTACGTCACTGGAGTGACGTCGCTAACGACGCAAGAAAACCAATGAATGCCGACAAAGTCCATCGACGATTATTTTCGCTTGATTTTGACTTTAACTAATTTCGTAAGTCCTTTCTAATGCAAATTTGGAAACGGATTTTTGGAAATCATCAGTCTCTTAGTAATGGTCCTTATTTTGACTTAAGTTTTAAATTCGCTGTAATTTGAAAACTTCCGAGCGCACCGTAAATACAACCGTACATGGTAAATACAGCTTGAAAGGCAAACACAAAAATAAAACCAAGATTGAATCCATTTGGGAGACGTCCGTTCGTTATTATTTACTTACGCTCCTGTCAAAATATTGGAATTATACATTTAGAACTGTCGAAAGAAGCTTTGCACGCTACGTAATCGCGTCCATATAGCTTTTTGAAAGCAAATATACCAATCCAAAAATGGCATAATTTAGTCTGCATTCAAATCTATGTAATTATGTCAAACATGTGGAAGAAACCATACAAGGAAATAATACGAAAATAGAATTCAATCGAAAGAACTAAACAACACACTTATCTGCGATACAACAACAGGTTTTTTAAGAGACTAATTTTCCATTGTGGCTTAGTTCGAGGAGATTTAATATGGCATTTTACGTTTTATGATATTTGACACACAAACTAAAGGATCTTGGATTTTCAATGTATGCAAGAAACCGTGTCTCATGCGTTTCCTCTAATAATGCAAACGGGTTGCGAAGGGCAAAAAATAACAAGTAAAGCAGCGTAGCGCGAAGTTAGGGCACAGAATTTAATACATATTTATATGCGTATTCAAATACTGTCGCGTCCAATATTCGTTTGCGTGGTCAATACGATATTTATCACAGCGCGGTGAAATAACATGAAATACAACTTGGGTGTTACGACAAAAAGTAAGTGAGAACACCAGCTGATATTGGAATTGTCAGTCAGTACGACTGTGGCGTTTGCTGTTGCGTGTATTGACCTCAAAGTCTGATAAATGTTATATCATAGCGTCATATTATAACGCATGGAATAAAGATTGCTGCCAAGTGTCGTATTAAAGAAATTATTTTATGACTAAATCATCCATCTGCTTGTGCATTTGTTCAATTTAATCAAGATATGACAGTTTGACCATCAGATATCAGGTGGCCTAATATTTTCCTAAAGTTTATCACCTCGGTTAAAAAATAGCTTATATCTACATCTTAATTTTGGAGTAAGAGCTGGAGATGTGTTTCTTATAGAGTGGTTTTATTTACGCAAACACACTTCCCAATGTTGTTCATCTCGAATGTAAATGAACCGTGGATTTTTCGATTGTTTTTCTGGATTCTCTTTTCCTGTCATTTCGTTTTTTCCCTTTTAATCACTGAACCCCTTGAAGGCGTATGATTGATATTATGTCTTAGGCAGAAGGGAACTGAACGGTAAACACTCTCATAAAAAAAATCCGTCCTGGAGCTCTCGTCAGTTGTTTTTACATCGGCGGCGAAGAAAAACACAGATCACACACTGTGCTCGCCCGAAAAGGGAAACAATTATACCAAAACTCCAAATCGCAGATAGCTTCAAAACAACATCAGATTTAATTCGAATGTTCGCGTAAACACTTTTAGTTAATAGGTCCTCACGAAACGCTAAAGATTGAAATGAAAATTTGGTCTGGTTTTGATCTCCTACGGCCAGCCAGCCAGCCATTGCTAAACATTTAAATACATTTAAGGTTGCTTTCACAGTTATCTCAGACTACTTACTTTTTTATTTGCGTAACTCAATTAAAAAAATTTTTCTCCAGGTGATTCTAAGAAAACCAGATATCTTTTAATCATGAGCAACGTCTCCTGAATCGTTAGTGATCTTTATTGTAGCAGTAGCATATTTCATTTTGTTTAATTATATCATTTTTTAAATCAATGATAAATTTTAAAAGCCAGAAAACAGGCGATAAAAATAAAGGGAAAGGACATCCTTTTTTTCTTTTCTGCCCAGAGAAAGTTTGAGCGAGCCACCAGAATACACAGGCAAGCTAGTAGCTTAGTATATTCTCAAAATCACCAATTATACATCTTGTTTAACCCCCCCCCCAAAACACACACACACACAGACCCTATGGTGGGCGCCCTAGAAACCACCGCTGACCAGGAGGCTAGAGGACTCAAAGTACAAGACTAGATTGTAGTAAGGAGACGAGCTACGATATTTATAATGTCGTGACATAAGAAGTGTTCTAACTTTTAATTAAATTTGAAACGTTTTAGGTATATCATATATATTTTGTGCAGGTAAATCATTGAGGCGGTGCGGCCAAATGCCCCTTTCAAGCGAAAAATACGGCACGCTTCATGAAATATAAAATGTGTTAAATTAAATAAATAAATAGTCCCTTCATACCGCCAACACCAACCTTTCAAACCCCACGCTGGTATTATTTCTTTGCATTTAAGCTTAATAGGATTGCTTAATCGATTTTATTATTCATCCAAAATATTTCCCTGATTCTGATTGGTTAAAAGCACACGCATAATTCACCATAACCAGTTACTGATGACCAAATTTGGAAGAATTTTGTGTTTAACGAGAAAATGACGTCAAAAATGCAGCCCGCTACAGGTTAAGGCACCGTTACCGAGAAGACCTGGGGACGAGGTTGAGTTGTTTTGCTTGTGAAAACAAAAATGGCGGACACTTTACTCGTTTCAAGAGTAAGACCTACAACTGGAAATAGGCGAAATAACAGCTAAAAAAATAGCAAAAACAGAAAGAAGACAACTCGGAGGGCGACATCTGCTATTTGGAGAATATCTGCGGAGCTTGACAAACCTAAACGTACACTATCGAAAATGAACTTGACATCGATGCAGGCAAGCATGTCTTAGCTATGTTTTTAAACTAGGAATTATTTTGAATGAATAATAAAGCAATTAATGAATTCGGCTTTCGTAGGATATGAAGAATTACGCAGATCTCGGAGGGTGTTATCCACCGAGGCCGAAACACCTTCCTCGACCTGCTTAATTCTTCATATCCCACTCAGTCTCATTCATTAATTACTAAATAACAACGAGTATTATAGAAAACTCCGTTCTACGGAGCAATTGCCAGTTTCCCTTGACATTGAATTGTCGTGGAAAATATCACCTTGGCTTTGTAAATAAATTTTGAACTGTAGAATCAATAATTCAATTGAGCTTTCTCCCTTGTGAAACTTTATGAGAATAGAAAAACGTAAACCTGTAAAAATATGAAGATATATATAAATATCGAGATAAGATAATACGTAGCTTTTCAATTTTATATCACTTGAAGTATTGGTAATAAGCAATACCAAGTGGTAAAAGATTACAGATTTTATGCCAAAAGTTATTTTTTAAATAATTAGAAAAAGCCAAATTGTGTTTCATATAAGAATTTTGGGTTTATGCTGGGTGTAAGATTTTACGAGACTCCCGAGAAACTCAAAGCGAAAAATTGGACAAGCACTAACAGACAACAATAAACACAAGTTCTTACACCGAGGTAAAGCCGAATGTGGGGTGTTGACATTTTTAAAGCTGTAAATAATGGAAAATAAACTAGAAAAACATTTTCATTGAAGAGGCGATGTTAGCTCTTGAACACATCCCAGGATTTACGGAAGCCTTGTGAGTTCCAGTACTGCTCGGTTTGCATCTCGGTGAGGCGAGAGATGGTGCGCTCAAAAGCAAAAATCTCTTCCTCTGCCGTAAATATCGCGCTGGACTGGGCATCAGCCTAAAATGTGATGATAGATGGTTAAAAATAGCCTGAAAAGTGATGATAGATGGTTAAAAAAAGCCTGAAAAGTTATAATAGATGGCTGAAAACAGCATGAAAAGTGCAACCTCGTCCCCAGGGCTTTTCCCTTAAAAACTGGGAAAAGCCCTGGGGACGAGGTTGTGAAAAGTGATGGTGGAAGATGGTGGATGGTTAAAAATAGTCTGAAAAGTGATGATAGACTGATAGTTAAAAAAAGCCTGAAAAGTGATGATAGATGGTTAAAAATAGCCTGAAAAGTGATGACAGATGGTTAAAAATAGCCTGAACAGTTATGATAGATGGATAGCCTGAAAGTGATGGTAGATGGTTAAAATTGCCTGAAAAGTGATGATAGATGGTTAAAAAAAGCCTTAAAAGTGATGATAGATGGTTAAAAATAGCCTGAAAAGTGATGATACATGGTTAAAAAAGCCTGAAAAGTGATGATAAATGGTTAAAAAAAGCCTGAAAAGTTATGATAGATGGCTGAAAACAGCATGAAAAGTGATGGTGGATGGTTAAAAATAGCCTGAAAAGTGATGATAGATGGTTAAAAAAAACCTGAAAAGTGATGATAGATGGTTAAAATTGCCTGTAAAGTGATGAAAAATAGTTCAATATAGCCTGAAAAGTGATGGGTGGCTAGTTTCAGCTGTGATGCTTTGTCGGTGAGTAAGTGAATCACATGGTGATCGATCGGCGGTCTTTCCTTACATTAGGCCAATAAAGAAATTCACGAAAGCCACGAATACCGCGGAGGACTAAATCCCCAAAGAAAAATCTAACGATCTTATTCAACTTATCAGTTTATCGTTGTAGTAGGGGTCTCCCAGTATATGGTGCAAAACAAAATTAGAGAAAACAAATTGCTTCTTCTCTCGTAATACGCAAGATTGAATCCTCAGTCTTTGTTGAACAAAGCAACTACGACTATTGCAATAAACCAGCAATCACATCAGCGTGCTTAACAGTTCCAACTCTGTGAAAGGTTTGTACCCAAGAGTCATTTCAAAAGTAGATTGAGTTTGATCGTTCGGGTGAACGTAGTCCTGAATAGGAATGTTGTTGTTGACAGTGACATGACGTTTCGACAACCTGTGCGGTAGTCATCTTCAGCTCTTTCTTCTCCAACTCTTTCTTCTTTGCTCAGTAGAGAAAAGTGTGACGTCACGTAACCAAGGTAGCACGATTTCTGGATCTCAATCTTTCTTGGCAGAGACGGCCATCTGAATTGTCGAACGATGGAAGAAAAGTATGGGCTTCGTTTTGTTCCTGATGGGCAATCACACACAGGAAAGTCATACATGTCAATTTTTCCCTTTTTTGCAGGACCATGGTGTGTTGAAACCCAGAAATATTGCTACTATGGCAACGTGACGTAACAACTTGTCTCTGTTTACGTCAAAATTGCTTACCGCTGACAAATCCAGATCGTCCATGAGTTTTCTTTTGAATTCGTCATCTTCGTTGGTCAGCGGGGTAACGTTGAAAATGTCTCCTAATGGCGTGCTTGCCGAACATATAAGTCGAGTCTAGCCAAATAAGAACAAAAAGTGTTGTAATAAATAAACATCGAGACGATGAAATGTAAAAGATACCCTTAAGGACACAAGATTGACAGTATACACCACAATGTCCATTCAACGTACCCTATTATCGTATAATGCGTCTATGAGGGTGATGAATCTCCTTGCTTCTGTTCTTTGGAACACTGTCATTCTAGGTATATCTCGAAGGATGATGACGTCGAAATGCTCACACAGGGCTAAATAATCTGCGGCTCCCATGGGCTAAAACAATAAAAACATTACACGAGTATTAATTATTGCATGAGAATATCCTATCTAGGGAAATGCTGAAGTCACGGCAGCCATGCTGGTGGACAAGAACTATGGCGTTTCCTTTCGCAGGGTGTCAAACTCTCTTTCTCATACAAATTCGGAGAAAGAAAAAGTATGATTTGTCCACCATTATGAACGCCTTGTCACGTGGTTAAAAACCAGCAATTGCAAGGTGGTAGCCTGCGAAGCTGGCGGGATTGTTGTGCCCGGGGTCACTTTCTTGGCGGCGGAGTAGCCACGCAAAGCGACAGCGGCGGCTCCAACGCCAAAAAATGCTAACGCCTGCTAATCCCGCCAGCTACACAAACTACAAGGTGGCAACACTTTGTTGTCAAAATCTGCCAATAGTCAACCAAAAAATCAGCAATAGTTCAGTAACGTTGGAAGTTACCAGGAATCATTTTGAGATGCCATTAGGGATACGTTGAGGGGTCAATTTTTTTAGTGCGTGTGTTGATAATCTATAACTTGAGCATCTCCAACCCTCTTGAATGTGTTTTCGCGGCAAATCGCTCCATGTTCAGCCTGACAACAACCGGAGCTCTCTGGGTCGGTTATTTAAACGAAGTCCAACATAGGCCGCGGTTTAGGAAATCTTTGGAACTCCAGATCTCTTCCTTAGTAGGTTCTTTTAAGAAGACAAATGCTCTTCTTGTTCAACTTATATGCTCTAATGAAACTGTTCACGTTAAATGGTGTTTACATAAAAGCGTTCGGCAAACTGAAAATGGCTTAAAACGCGTTTTTGTTAAACACTGGCTACACTCCGTTTAAATAATTGACCCTTTGTGTTCACGCACCGAGAAGCCAGCCATAACTTATTATTTCCTAGAGAGGATAAAGCTTTACCCCTCTTGTTTCCCAGCATTTCATAGCACGCAGATGATGTGACTTCGGCTTTGTAACAAATCCCCGCTATACTTCGCTGTTAGATACCCTCTGTGGGCACTAGACATGACAGTTTGTCCGGATGGTACACGCGACTGCGATATGCCCTTTTAACGTGGATCCTTGTGTTTCCTAACCTACAAACTTAAAACTAATACACCAGTTTCCTGTTATCAAAATTCATATTTCGCTCGGGCGGAGGCCGAGTGAGGTCTCTTCCACACTAATGCGTTTTCGTTTGAAAACGAATACATTTCGATGCGCTTAGGCCTTCCGTCCACACTAATACGTAGAGCGTTTTCATTCAAAACGCATCGATCAGAAAACGCTCTTGAAAGTGGACCAAAACCAAAACGCATACATATCGTTTAAGCGTGGAGGGTCAAAAACGGTCAAAAACGCATCAAAATGAAAACAGTGACCGAAAATATCGCAGGCGCGTGTGTTTGTAGCATGCTCATAGAGTTCAACTTACATCACGACGTGCAATTCTATCGTTTTCGAACGTTTCAGTCTGGACAGTCGAAAACGCAGCAAAACGGTAGTGTGGACGCAAATCGATCGCTGCGTTTTTCATGACAACGAAAATGCATACTTTTGAAAACGCATTGGTGAGGGCCTGCGGGCAATAGAACAAAGAAATCAATTACTCATCCCTGAATCTCAATGCAATTTCTTTTCAGCCTCGGAGCGAATTACGAATTTCAATAATTCGAAACTGACATATTACCATAGCTTACACAGGGTAACCATCTAATAGCGAGAACCTTGCATATTACCTGTGCACACAGCTGCTCAAAGGTGAAATCTGCGATTCTTCCACACGCATGGGGTGCATGTAACTTTCTTGATCCAACAACCTTGATATCTCTTGGACCTGGTTTACAGTCGGCATCCTCTGTTCATTCAACAAGGGAAACGTCACGTTAGTCGCTTTGTACAAAAAAGCTTCCTTAGAGTGTTACGAGTTGGCAGCAAAATATAACGTATACAGTACATTAAACATCAACTTTTTCAGGTAGTACACGTTACATTCTAATTGGCCATTTGATGTCAATGTAACTACAGAATTAAGTATTTAAACGTAATGTTAGCTAGAGTAACAGTAAGGACCACCAGAAATATTTGGCGTAATTTAAGTGGACACCGCTAGGCGATTGGCGTGACAGGCGACTTTTCTGCGAGCTCATTTTAAACCCTCACTTCCCTGGAATGACGAGCTGAAGCGTCAACCAACAAAAGACAACAACAACGCACTGCAGCCACAGCAAAACCTAGGCCAGCAACGCGCAATTTTGGAGAAGAGTATTAGCAGGTCACAAGACAATAAAGTGCCATGAGTTTGTTTTAATTTGACGAAACTACAGACAGCGTACCTTCCCTTTGTTGTTGCGCTAGTGTGGAGAATATCCAGTCGAGTTCTGAGTCAGTTGTTCTGCCGAGAGAACTGAACAAAAACAACACCACCATTATTTACAATCAGTCAAGTGATTGTGAGTAATTTTTCAATATACATTTTTTATTACCTGCACCACTGAGTGCCACAAATGAAGAACAAAACAATATACAATTTAGTTTTTTTCACTTTCACCTACATTTCTACCGACTTTACCGGCCTTCATCAGACAGTGAAAATTAGACAGCGTTGAAGCAATTTGTTGCGTATTGATCAAGAACAAACCACCAACCACCAACAATGTTTTACCATCGGTGCTTTGTTTAAGCAAAAACTGATCCCGGTTTGAATTCACCCATATGGCACTTGGCACTTCTATGGCATATTAACATTATGCTTGAGTTTATATTGAAAAACAAAATTCAACCTACCTGAAGAAGACTTTGCCAATAAAGGACATATCTGCATGTCAGAAAAAACCAAACAAACAGATATATAATACGCACGTTGTCAGAGTTTACCTACGATTAACTTTTCTTGCCTAAAATAGGGAAACACAACCAAACACGCTCAAAAGTCATACCTATTTTGCGGTAATCTATTCTTGAATCCAGACAAAGAACTTCACAGTAATTCTGAGAAAGAACAGATGATTTTAAGTCTATATAAGTTGATTTTCTTTTGTAGATAAAAACTTATAACATGACATGCCTCACCTTAAGAATAGGTATGAAAGGTACAAAATTGCTTCTTTGAAGACCATTTTTGTATAAATCTAGAAATACAGTAAAAATAAAATAACTCGAGGAATTTTACGCTAAATAAAAAAGCCTTTGAAGCGAGTGCTTGTTAAAGGAGCCATAAGTGCCACGATTTTTGGTATCACTATAAAATCCTAAACACACATTACTACACACTGGGATCAAATAAACCCCGAAATGATGGTCCAGTTTTGTTCAAAATAATGTTCTATACCATTACAGTACATGACTTTGGCTTTTGATAGCCATGATATGGAAACCGATTGCAACCTTGAAAAAACCGATCACGCTGTGTTTTCAATTGATAGAATTATTCGATACCTTTCTTTTAGAGTTCACGTATCAGAAGGGGTGCCTGAGGATATTTTGTTTTAATTTCAGTTCAGCTTTGGCCACAAAATGTGGAACTAACTTACCAATTCACAGCCCCTTTAATTATAGACGCCTGAAAGGAAACTGGGGAAAAGGAGGAACAAAGGCCCATGTGAACTCCATGTGTCCGCCACACGGAAAATTGAAGAGTACCACTACGAGTACGATATTTTTTCAATACGCGTGAACCAGCGTCATTTTGGCGGCAAAACATGATTGCCGTCGTCATTCTACTACGAGTTTTAGCGAGAATGTCGTAGTGGCGGGAACAAGTTTTAAACTATTTATCTAGTATGTAGTTCTAACTTTTCAGTCTGCGGATGGAATTCTGTGGTTTGACCATTGAAACCTCTTCAGTAGTACTGAAACATGGTACTATAATTATTGGGTATGTAGTTCTAACTTTAAAGTCTGTGGATAGATTCCTATGGTGTGACCATTCAAATAAAACCTCTTCAGCAGTACTGTAGTGCAACAAGGTTTATTGTACCACTATTTTTATGCCTGCTTAAACCCTACCATACCGTCTGGATGTCTGTTTGAAGTGGCAATCACCACAACGCCTTGCTCAAACAACGCAGTGAATAATCTCTTTAAAATCATTGCATCTGCAATGTCTGTAACCTGCAAATAACAAAACTGACTACTCGTAAAACCACTTCGACACAAGGGTGTATCTAAGGGTGACGTTCAATGCTTGTAAACTTCCCTCAATCCCTCTTCCCCTAGACTGCAAAACAGTCCGTATTTTTGCGTATTCAAGTACGCGCGAGCAGTCAAACAAAAGGTCTGGAATGAGGCTGAAAACAGAGAGCGAGACTGGGGAGAGACGCTAAAAATACGCCCTACGGGCGTGCGAGGCTCGCGCGCTTCGCGCGCGTTAGACTCTTACGCCACGCTTTACCGATTTCTTTACTGATTTTGAGGAAAAAACCGACTGTTTTGCAGTCTACTCTTCCCCCGATCTTTCCGTTAGGTAAGTAAGATAAGAACCAGTAAAATCTACACTTGAGTTAGGTGACCCATCAGGGTATAGTAGCCTAAGACCAGGCTCCACGGTGGAGGAAAATGGCGAAAACAAAATCCGCTAGCCGATTTTTTATGATTTTTCAACCCATTTTAATTTTTTGCCTTTTTCGTGTGAAAGGGGGTGTGTTTCATGTTTGTTGAGAGTTATGTTTTTATTGCTATCAGGCCTTGAATAGTGTACTGTGTTAGCGTTTATTCGTCATTTCATCAACATGACAATTATACAATGCTAAGTATAATAATGCTTCTGTGTATGGCCTGACATAGTACTGATGTTATTACTGCATATCACCTGGAACTCATCAAAACACAAAAGCCACCACTGAGAGCTGATCTTCTCAGCAACTGGTGGAATTGGATCAAATGGCTGTGCTCGCACTGACTTGGGGTTCCGTGCAGGGAGACTCATTTTCAACTTGTGAATACCTGAAACAAATGTCACGCAAAATTCAGTCAATCTGCTTAAATTAAGGCAATAATGTACTCTTTGTATAAGACTATCTGCCATTGAAAATAATTGCCCTGAACAGTACGCAACTGTACACTTAGGATATCATCCACCCTTCAATACTGTCTTTCTGCCAAACACACTAGTGCTTGTAGGTTTAATAAAAATTACCCCTACAAACCATACGTTTTATGAATCAAAGCTTTTTAATAATAGTTCCAGATTATAGCAATTTTTTAAAAAATCTAACATGCTAATCACTTTCCAAGCTCCAACTACAAAATGATAGTCTTGGTAATATCATCTGTCCAGTCATCATGTCAGACACAGGTAGGTTTTTGTAGGACATGGGCAGACTTTAGTACAACATTGTCTGATGATGACTGTTTTTTGCAGCTCTGCCTCCTGCCACAAAAACCCAGGGAGACTACTCCCTATAATGGCCTACACAGGGAGGCTCCACCCAAAAGGGGTACCTTCTTCAGGCTTCAGGGTAGTTGAGATTTCACTTGTGAAAGAATATGAAAGGGCATGGAAATCTGTCATTTTGGTTGGTAAAAGAGCACAAAACAGCTACCAGATGCATTTTATGGCTGTGAAAAATTCGAGAAAACATTCTGGTTTTGTGACTTATTCATATTTAAAAGACAGTGCATTTACAGCAGTTAAAAGGGATGCAAAGATCTAAACTAGGTAGGTGAAAAAAATACCATTTGTCAATAGCAGGTATACAATTTGGGGTTCCTTTTCTGTCAAAGATGCTATAATTACAAAAGGGTAAGGGATTGAAGCTCGGTGCAGAGCCTCCCGTATAAAACTGAGTTGAGTACCCCCTCCCCCAGTACACACACAAAAAAACAATTACAGACCTCAGTTAGGGTTTTGACAGATGTGGGCAAATTTCAGTGTAACGTTGCCTGATGAAGGACCTGTTATTTACAGCTCTGACTCCTACCACAAAAACCACTTAATAACCGACCTTAAAGTCATCATTACCCTTTCTTGAAATATCTCCATTACCCTATGATTACTGCTGTCTTCATTATCATCAGTTTGCGAAATGGTGTTGTCAGCAGCATAAAATAATAAAATCAATTTACAATGTGATCTTATGAACAAACATACTTGAGTGAACATCCAACATGAATGAATGAAAGTGAACTCTCTGCTTCTTTTCCATGGGAACTTCATTGTAAAATAAATCCATCAACAGTGTCTTGCCACAACCTTCAAGCAATAATTATTATGCACAATAAAGATTAAAAAATAGTGTGTACAAGCAATATGTCATATAAACCACAAAAAAACTCAACTACACAGGGTCCGAAATTAACTTTTTAATATGAGCGCCAACTGGTGAGCAGGTATAAATTTTTGGTCGCCAGGGGGCAAATTGTGGTCACCAAAAATTCCCCTTGGCGGCTTGGAAGCGCTTAACTCGTATTCATCGTAGCTGTTGTGGAGGTATATTTACAGGAAGATTCGTTTCACTTTTAAATCAAAAAAATATCTGCAGGACGAAAAGTAAGACACCTGTTGGCAAATAGCTTCGAGGTTTCAATTCTTAATCATTAGTTTCTCCGAGCGTGAAAGTCTACAATGACAACCAGCTTTACGAGTCGCCAGCTGGCGACCAACTATGAAATTCTGGTCACCAGAACTGAATTTTTGGTCGCATTGGCGACCAGGAAGGCGCAATTTCGGACCCTGCTACACTGACTAATACCTTAAACAAAGCTAATGTACGTACTTTCAAATACATTATTGTCATTTAAAATGAAATTCAGGTTAAAAAGCTTCCCAATTTCCTTAAACTCTCACGATGAATAATAAATTAGGATAAAGGGGCAAGGAAAATTGAGCCAATCAAAGTAGGTTAAAAGCATTTAAACCTGAATTTCATTTTGAGCTGCAACATCTACAATAACCTTCTGTACTTATAAACCCTCTGCTTGTACATCTTTGTAATGGTTTTGGGAGGGCTTATAGATGGAGAGCGTTATATCTGACGGGGGGCGTAACCAGAATAGAAAAAGTACTACAAAACAATCTATAGCAGTGCTGATCAGGATACATTCTACACGTACATGTTACACTTACTGTTTTTTTAATTTCAAATGTTGTAACAAATAAATTGAATTCATTTCTGATCTGATCTGATTTCTAGCTTGGTCATACCCTGTCGCATGGTGATCTTGTCCCATTAGCTATCGAGGGGAGAATAATAGGAAAGGGGCCACCTGGAAGGCCTCGAGTGGGAATGCTGGATAGAGTGAAGGATGCAAGGCAGCCCTTATGTAACGGTCAAGAGGTGCGCCTTAGAACAAGAACTATAAGGAAGGACCTACCTGTGGGCAGAACACACGCAAACACACACACACACATTTCTGATCAATACATTTGGAGGGAGGCTTATATTCAGGGGGCTTACTATAACTGTAACCAGTTGAAAGGGTTGAAAGGGTTTTTTTTTGTTTACAGGTACTGGGGGGGGGGGAGGCTTATAAGCAGACAAGGTTATAAGCTACAGCTTACAATTTGTGCAGTTTCTTTGTCAGAGTCAAAATAGAGACTCTAATAGAACAGAACATTTATTGTAGAGAGAGAATTCCTACCTACACTGCCATAAAGATACAATCCAGAGGGTGTCTTTTGTTTACTACCTAATTTAAAAAACTTGAAAAACAAACGAACAAATGAAGTAACAGAAAAGAATTATCTCATCCTCGGAGACCCAGGGGCAGATAGTGGGGGCGAGGGAAAGTCTAAACGGGCGGAAAAATAAGGCACGAAGAAAAGTAAAGAACGGCCAGAAGAGCCCCTGGGGACAATGTCTTACCAGACCAGTTCCAAACGGTCGCCGTCTTTCTGGCTTCTGATTGGTGCCAGAAAAACACAAGTTTTCTGGCACCAATCAGAAGCCAGAACGGCGGCGACCGTTTGGAACTGGTCTGGTAAGACATTGTCCCCAGGGGCTCTTCTGGCCGTTCTTTACTTTTCTTTTGTGCCATATTTTCCCGCCTGTTTAGACTTTCCCTCGTCTCCACTATCTGCCCCTGGGTCGCCGAGGATGGAATTATCTATGAAAAATAAGAAAATTGAGGCCAAATTACAGATTACAGCATTCAAAGTGGTATGTGTAGAATTATTTTTTCATGCTCAATCAATATTTACAGCAGTAAGTCTTTGCTTATTATCATCTAAGTGATTTTAAAGTACTTCAACAAATAAACATGCCTTTTAGGTTCTGAAGACCTAGAATTTAGTCTGGAGTCTGGAGAAAAAGGTAGAAAACTGAGCAAAAACTGTACATTAATCAGACCTCACCTTGTCAAAACAACTTAAACAATTTATTGCCACACACAATGGATCTTTTTCCTATACTGACTGCACTTTTTAGAAAACCAGTAATATTCTCCTTCTTTCATTAAATCATCATTATTATTATTATTATTATTATTATTATTATTATTATTATTATTATTATCATTCGCATTATCATTATCATTATCATTAGGAGTAGTAGCAGCACTGGCCAGTGGCAAGCGTAGTGGCAGTTGCAGTGGCTAACAGATCCACTGTAGTTTCAAATAATTAAATTGATTCATTTTTTGGAATCTTGGGTGCTATTCTTGACCTGGGTTGGCAGTAATAATGCACTGATACACTCAAAAAACAATCAAGTTAATACTCTAAGTCATTCCCTACCTTACTAAGGAACCCAGTATTGCTGGGTTGATAATCAAGCATTTCACTATATAATCTTTGGAGATGTTCAACAATCTGTCGTTGATATCTGTCAAGCTTAAGCTTTCCATTTCTAACCATTTCATCATACTTTTTAACAGGACCAGCCTCTTGGCTATGGAAATCTGGATGAGGTACTCTTAATATGTCATCTGAAAATACATAAAATAAATAAATAAATACAATTCATGTTATTAACTTGAAAACATAAAACAAAAACAACAATAACAACAAGTTGGGTTTTACTCTAGCAGAAATATGTGGCCAGAATATGCTGGTACTTCCAAGAATCTTCAGATTCTCTGCAATAGACCTTTTCATGGTATTTTCAACTTTTGACATGGACAAGTTAGGGAAAATCCGTCGACACTAAAAAAGTGTCTTGAAATTAATAAAACTGCTAAGTTTGAAATTGATTTGTTGAAAGTTAATGAAGAAACAGCTCCTCAAAGTCACAAAACTTTACAGACTTTTGTATGGTGGGGGGCACAAACTTACACCCCGCCATACAAACATCTGTAAATTTTTGGAACTTTGCGGAGCTATACCTTTGCTCGCTAAAGATGTTATCACTTTCAAATTTGGCAATAATTTTACTAATATTGAGGTGCTCTTTTCAGTGGTGTCAACAGGTTTTCTCTGACTGGCCTATACAAAAAGTTGAAAAAATCATGAAAAGGTCTATTGCCAGAAAAAATCTCAACTTAAATCAAGCCACAAACAAATCTTGATGCTCTGAAACGTTACTGCCAGTCTTTTGAAACGCTTTTGGGTCACTTTGCCCCGTTAATGACAACTGTACCCCCATATTTTAGAACGAGGAATATTACATTAGAAGCGCGCTTTTTTTTTTTACGGCTTACAGAACGAGGAACGTTACATTTGAAGCGCGCTTAATGACTCGAAAATAGGGGGCTAAGTAACCGGCACGAAATGCAATGACTTGGGGCAAAATGACCGGTTACCTCTGAAACGACAAACTGTCAAAAATGTTTGATAAATCGATCATAATTTTTACATGTATGCTCGTTCTCATATCATTCTAAAACCTTGACTAAGTTCTCAGCATGAAACAAAGACAGACCATTCACAGAATAAATCTTAAAATAATATCTATGCTTAAGCTTATGAAAAATTGCGAAATGAACCTCTCTTCGAACCGAAACCGGTTTCCTCCGAAATTTAGTATACACAATATCAGTCTAACTTTTAACTGTATTCTCTGGAATTACCTTAATTTTCTGAAAGGAAGAACTAAAATAAATAATACTTACTAGCTGTCCCGGTTAAAGTCGATGAAAACCGACAAATTTTCACAGAAAGACGGACAAAATTACGTCGGAAACAACATCCTGCGACTGCCATTTCTTGTATGACGTCAGGAAGATGCTCCCAGTTCCTCGCGATTGCTGCTCTAGGTGCGTGGTCACCAAGGAGTCGTTTCCAAAAACAACTTGATTTAATTTAAACCATAAAAATAAGTAAGTAGTGGTCTTTAGTCGCCTATGCTATGGGATTATTCGACAGATTATCGAACTGGCTAGGGTTAAAAAAGAAGGAGATCAATGTCCTTTGTATAGGACTGGACAATAGTGGCAAAACTACCATTATAAACAAACTAAAACCCGAGAAGGTTAGTTTGCCATGCGTCGGCCTGTTTGTGTTTGTCGATGATGAGATTGATCTTTTTAATATTTACTCTTGTTCTAACACTGGATGTTTTTCTACAAATTTTCCATTTTTTAGACTCAAGCGCAAGATATTGTACCCACGGTAGGCTTTACTGTGGAAAAATTCATATCACAAAGGTAAATGTTAAATAAAATAAGCTACACCTACCAAAATAAGCTTTTGGGTATGTAATTTTTAATTTAAAAAATACGATTAAGTTGGTGGTTTCACGCGGAGTTTTGTTAACCTTTAACTCTTGAAGCTTTTAGTAACTTAAAGATTAATATTTGGTTTATTCAACAGTCTTAACAGAGGTGAACTATTTTGAGATTTAAGCTTTATATAAGTTCTTCTCTCGTCCTTGTTAATTGTTAGACGTAGCTTAGCTTATGTGGGGGATTTTACCCGCCACAAATTCCCACCATTTGTACAGAAAATGGTAAAGCAAGAAAATTCCACTTACACTATATACGGAAGTGTTTCGTTAGAAGGTGTAAAAATTATTCATCCTTTCAACTGTGGCAGGATTAGTTCAGTCAGTAGATCTAGAGCGCTTGACTGCAAAGCTGGAGATTGCAGGTTCGCTTCCCAGGGCCGGACCATTACTCAGGGTCTTAAAGTACTGTAAAATTCCTCAAAATAAGCCCCTCCAAATATAAGCCCCCCAAAATTGTAACACAAAAAACCCTCCGTTAAATCGCCTCTCCAAATATAAGCCTCCCCTGGGGGCTTGTACTTGGAATTTGCCCTTGAATACAAAGTTATGTAAAACAAAGCAAAAATGGTAAATTTCCTTACCACTACAAGCTAGCCCAATCGATTTTGAAACTCAAATTTCCCTCTGTAGATAAGCCCCTCCGAATATAAGCCCTTCCAAAAATAAGCCCCTCAAAAAGGGCCTTTGAAAAATATAAGCCCCGGGGCTTATTTTCAGAATTTTACGGTAACTGACAAATGAAGTTACTCCCTTTGCAGTGCAAGCTGCGAGACCTTTGCGTGGCTTGGATGACCATGTAAAATGGTGGTCCCGTCTCCATTAGGAGACAAAAAAATAGCGTCCCCAATTAGCGCTTTTGTGCTTAATACATTAACACTCAAATAAAGTGCATTTTACATTTTTTTTTTCTCCGTTGTCCTTGCCTGACATACTATTAATTTTAGTTTGCAAATTAATTTTACTAGTCTCAACTTTACTGTGTTTGATATGTCTGGCTCAGGAAGATACAGAAATCTGTGGGAACATTATTACAAGTAAGTTTGCTTTAAGCAGGGTATTTTGAAGGTGATTTAGACCCAGTTCAATTACTGTGTAATTCATAGACTGATGGCATCAACCTAATTGATGACATTAGCTGTGGTCACACTACAGACTTTTACCTAGGTAAAAGCAATTTACCTGGGGTAAATTCATGAAAAATCTCCCGAGGTAAATTCATCTCGGGTTTTGTTTTACCTACAGTAGGTGAAAATCCTGGGAAGGTCACACTACTCATATTGGCTCCCAAGGTTTTCACGCCAGTTGAATTTTTTGGAGCGTAAAGATACACAGGGATCTAGCTGATCAAAGAGAAGTTTTTTTCTTTTATGTCGCTGTAATTTCTTACCCTATTCAACGTGCAAGATGAAGAAAGCCAAAGACGTAGACGACTCAAGCCCCAAAAATTTCTTTCACAGTGTGAGCTATGTGCGGTTCTGTCATCAAGACCTTCGCCGATGAGCGTCGATTGGGTAGCAACCTCGGTATTTCATTTTTCCCTAGCTATCGCTTTGGGGTAGCTGTCAAGGGAAACTCTTTTGTTCTCGAGACATATCCAAGACCAAGACGATAAAATTTCCCCAAGGTAAGTCACCTAGGGAAAAATTCGTAACACTTTCAAAATCAAGTTTCCCTAGGTAGACTGTCAACAACTCAAATTTACCGAGGTAAAAAGTCTGTAGTGTGACCACAGCTATTATGTAGGGACAACAGTCCTAGCATGGGGCCATTTTAAGCAGTTTGGTTTGTAGCCTGAGAAAACCGCTGACATTTCATGATGCCACCAATAGTTTCCCCGTGAAATGATGTCTGAGGAGCGAGTGCAGAAATTTCATACTGATGATGTGTCACTACCCTGATCAGGGTAGTGCTACTGCACAGGTCGCCATATTGGTGACTCTGATTGCTAAGATAGTTACCCTGTGGTTCATTTGTGTTGATATCATGCCATGCAGTAGCAATCGCAATTCAAGGTGTGGTACCTGATAATATAGATGTGTTTAAGCTAATTCCCATCTTATTTCAGTGCTAACTATAGGGAAAGTTTGCGTTTTATGTACATGTGTAAGAACATGTCTGAAACTGTTTGTAAGATGGGCTTTTTTGCTTTCATAAATGGCCCTAATGCATTGGCTGTCACATGGTCTCATGTTACATCAGACTAATGATTATTTTAAAAGTTGCAGGTGACACCATAAAACCAAAAATTAATTAAATAGCTAATGAAAATTTTGAAGTCAAAAGTCAAGTCAAAGCTCTCGTAAGTGGCCGCTTCAGAAATTCAAAAAAGTGGTCATAACTAGTCAAGAGCTATCATAAGTGACCACATTGTAAAACAATAGAGGGTGGTCGCTTGCAAGAGCTTCAGAAAGGCATTAATGATTCTGTGACTGGTCATTGCCAAGTAGGCTAAGTGGTCGCTATGGAAATGACCTTGAACTTTTACAAACCGTTAAGTACTAGAGCTGGTTGCTTACGAGAGTGGTCACAAGGAGAGCTTCGACTGTAGTTTTTTTTTTACTATTTAGATGTACAGTTACTAATAATGGTTCTTATTTTCTCTGTCGTGCCTTTTAGAACTGCTCAAGCAGTCATATTTGTGCTAGACAGTAGTGACAAATTAAGAATGGTTGTAGCCAAAGAAGAGTTAGACATGTTACTTCAACATCCTGGTTAGTCATGAATGTCAGTGTCAGTAAAATGTAGTTAATAATGGTAATAGGACTGAGTGGAGTCCAATTCGGTCTGTAATCATATGAGTGATTAACAACATCGGATGACCATGTAGCAGGAGTCCGATTTGTTTAGTCATGAGTATGATTAATAATGGTAATAGGACTGAGTGGAGTCCACTTCAGTGTGTAATCATACAAGAGATAGACGAAATGGGATGACCGCATACCAGCATAAGTGTGATTTGTTTAATCATGAGTACAGTGTATGATTGAAGACTGATTTGGATGACACAAAGTTCTGTTACCAATTAATCATGACTATAACAAAATTTGTGATATGTCAGGCTGTTCAAAATCAAAACATAGGACATTTTTTTAGCAGTTAAAAAAAAGCCATTTAAGTGCACTTGTGTGATGGCACGTATTGTCCAATTACGTAGGTATGACGCGCACTGTCCTTTTACACTGTCCTATTAGTGCTGAAATCAGGACAGCTCATAGCCAATCAGATTTGAGAATTTTGTTAAATTTATGATTAAACCTAAGTTGCAAGTGTTTATTGCGATTAAAAGAACTATGAACACTTTGGTTTGATTTGTCTCCACATTCTGATAAATGACAGCATTTTTGAAAAGTGATTATTGCTTTATTGTTTCTTTTATTATTACTAACCCTGACAAATTCATTCTTCTTCAGAAATTACTCAAAGGAGAGTGCCTATTTTAGTTTTTGCAAATAAAATGGACTTGAAAGATTCTCTCTCCCCTGTCCAGGTAGAACAGTTTTATTTATTTACTATCTTAAAGGACAGTAATATTTATAATAATATAATATACTAGTAAAACATAAAAAAAATGGCCACATTATGTTTTTTACAAACCAATATGTACTATTAAATCAATTGCCAAAAAAGATACCGTATGCTGGCTTTGAAACTAATTGTTTGGTTTATTTTCAGTGTTCAAACAAGATGGGTTTACATGATTTAACAAACAAACCATGGCATATATGGTAATTAAGATGTCTAATGTAAGATGGCTTCCAATGGCCACTCAATTTAGTTTTAAATTTAATTCATAATTTGGCAGTATTCCAAAGACCTAAAGCATTTAAGAGCCAACACACTTCAGAATGTGATGCACTCACTGGTCTTAACCCTTTAAGCCCCAATAGAGTGATTTTCGTATGACCTTAAAAAATGGTTTCGGTAAGTGTTCGTTATTTATTTTATCAGCCAATGGATGAAATGTCAAAACATGGCCTCTTGGTTTTCCCGCCAAAGAAAACCCTAATATGGACAAGGCATTGTTCGATTGGCCAATCGTGTTGCAGTATGACGTCAAAGCGAAGTATCAGTTGATTTCTAGAAAGTTCTCTGGCATGAAGTTTTTTCACCCAATTGTTCGCTTAACCAACGAAAAGCCACACGCGTTTGTGTCTGTTTGATAAATCAATCCTATCGCTCAATTTCCGTTCGTTTGTTGTTTCTGTTTTGTTTGCACATTTTCATTTCAAGGTCATACGAAAATCGCTCTATCCTTATACAAATTCTCCAAACTGGTCTCTATACTTTTCCATATAAAATACATTGAGAGAGTATGACAAAAGATGAAAGCATTTTTCTTTGGTGATCATTTTATCAATTCTCACAACCTTTTCTCTTAATTGTGCATTGACATTGTTGGGAGAAAATTGCTGTTTGTCACTCTCAGGACTTAAAGGGTTAATAGATACTAGGGAAGTAACTTAAAGACAACAGCCCAAGAAGAAGCTTTAATCAAAACAAAAAAACTTGAAATTGTGGTCAACATTCAGCGTGCAATGTAGTGTCCAGTAGCCTGGGGTTAGTGGATTTTGCTATCGGGCTAGTGAATCCTGTTTTTAACTTGTCCGACAGGCAAGTGATGTTTTTTGAGGAATAATTGAATAACAGAGGAACTGTGAAATCAATTCTGCACGTCAAAAAGTTTTTGGGGTTAGTTGAAGTGACATCTGGGCTAGCAAATGCTAGCTTCAGCTTGCCTTTTCTTCAGCTTGCCTAAAAGGCAACCTGTAAAAATGATTTTCTTTGCACCCTGACATTATACCAAGGTATTTCATCATCAATCTTTCCTTCACATGAGGTTGTGTGACAATTTTGTCATTCATCACTTGAGGCAAGCATCATCACAGATAGCTTTGATCAGTTCATGGCAATCTGTTACCTTTCGTTTCCATAATCATGCAAAAGTTCCTGTTCAAGTTAGAAACTTTGGAAGTCATTCTCTCATAATGTACTGTCTCTTTCGTACTTGTAGTGCCAGTAATGGTCTCACAGGGGAAGGACTGAATGATGGGGTTGACTGGCTTACAGGTGGGTGTAACTATCACATGTGATGTAGAAAATTCAGTAAACAGCTCTGGAATACAACCATGTAATAAACCTACATGTACAATGTTGACTCCAGTCTACAAAAGATTGGTTAACAGTATTATCAAGAACATTGGAGATACCATTAGCAAGGTTATCATTTTTACTGATTAAATTTGAAAGTTTGTGTAAATTTGAGCCTTTTATAGTTTCTTGATCCTTCTGATAACTGTCATATGTGAAAACAAAACTGACTTTTCTTCTCCAGTCAAACACTTTACCTTGTTGAACCTCCCGGCAGTTCAAGTCAATTTTCCCCAGGAGTTTAGACTGACAAATCAGCATTCTACTTTATTTTTTTGATAATTACTGATAGAAACTTCATTCCAAAAATTAAAATCTTGGAATTAACAGGGTTAATTTTTATGAGCAAATTTAAGACCTTCACGTAGACCTTCAAAGACACGCCTTTTTTTTGCCACTCACTTGGAGAAACTTAAGATCATACAAGTCATAGAGACACTACTGCCAATAATATACTGTATATCTGTAAGAGAAGTAGTGTGCATAAAATTGCTTGTCTGATGATGTCGCCTTTAAGCCACAACTGATGAACGATTCATTGTGGTGCAGCATAAAATTGATTAATTTTTTTTCCTATTGCAGATCAGATTCGTTCATCATAAAACGCATGTGTGCTTAATGTACCTTAAATCTTAAATACTTTTCAACTTGTACAGCATGGGCATATTGGTGTGGCTTGGAAGGCAAGAAAATGGTCCCTCAGAGTCACCTTATGAAGTCAAAATTCAAAACATCATATTTTGTATACACTTAGATTGTTCACAGTCCCCTGTTTTTTCGTAAGATCGTCAGAATCGAGCGTTTACCAGTACGGAAGGCCATCTTGGTTTTATAATTAGGAACCCAGGAGGCGGACGTCGGGGTTTAAAGCGGTAGGAGGAGGAAGACAAGAAAATATTTTTCTCACTTTCTCCTAAACCGCCCTCCTAAGTAGTTTTGACACTCATGCAAGATGACTTCCCGTAACACAAAGCGCTCAATCTCGACGGTCTTACGGAAAAATGGGGAGATAGTCTAGTAAATACTAAAAAACCAGTAGCACGGCCACCATGTGAAAGTGCTGTTTAATGGTCTCATTGGAACTACTTACTAAACAAGACGCTATCGGAGCGTACACTTGGGCGTCGTTGTATCACGCGTATGCAGGGGCAGATCCAGGATTTTTTCTTAGGAGGGGGTGCACCACTAAGGGATGGCGTAACTGACTGGTGACGTAACCATATTTTAAAGCGAATACGAAGAAGAAGGCTTTTGACAAGGCAATAACACAATGTGAACTGCTGAGAAAACATATCAACTGTGAAGCGACTGCACAGTGATAATTAGAAAGCCGCAGGTCATCTTGGGGGGAGGTGGTGTGTGCACACCCCTGCACCCTCTCCTTAGATCCGCCCTTGATACGTGAGGATTTTTTGTGTCAGCCATGTGTGAGTGCTGCAATATTGTTAATTGCTAAGAGTTGTCTGAAATGTAGACGTGGAGCCATAGTGGACGTTGCTTGGTATGTAAATAGTTCGAATTTTCCTCGGAATTCCTAACTTAATGCATCTGTCAAATCCAACTGCGCCCATTCCCCTCCCCCGGGCTACTGCGGGGAATTTGCCTGCCTTTTCAGTCCGAGGGGTGGGGCATGGGCAGATTTTGCGTGCCCCGGGGTCGGGAATTTTGCCTACCTCGGGGCCATCCCCGAGCTTTTGACACGCACGTGGTTTCCTATCCTAAAATAACTAACTTGGAGGACTTTACTGGAAACATAAGAAGATTGGCTTATCTATCAAGCACGGGAAAAATTCACCGAGGATTTTGGAGGCATGTTTTGTCAATTTTATGAATGCATTTCTTCTTTACTTATCACGACAGAACTTACACTGCGAAATCGATAGCTATCGATGTACGTGAATCGATGTTTTTTATTGAATCAAATTTCTTTTGATCTAGCGGATTTGAATAAAATTTAGGGTAACGATTTTAATACTTCTATGATCATGTATGATCAGTCTATTATTTGAAGAACTTTCTTTCATATTATTAAACTACTCGTAACAGATAGCTTTATACACTATTATTGATTTCAATTTTATTGCCCCTTTTAGATTATTGCCTACGAACTATTCAGTTAGAACAAGATGAATAATGATAAAACTAGGAGTAATCGGAGCTTAGGAGAGTGCGTTCGATATGTTTTTTAGGCCTACAGGTAGCAGTTGAGGGGGAAGGGTGGTTGCGATATAGATAAATATGATTATGGCATATTTTGAACGTAAGGGTTAAGTATAGCGAAACCTTTAAACTGTGTATCATTATAAGAAGGTTTTGAAAAGATATCGTATTGTTCGGTGTCAAGTGCTTGTAATCGGAGGAGACATTGGCCAGAGTGGGTAGGGCGTGTAAATAGAACATTTTATTTTACTGGCGCGATTACAGGGTGCAGTTGCTCAAAGGGCGATTAGTGCTTAACCCGGGATTCATTTCTTCAAAAACATTTCTTCGGATAATTTTCTCTGTTATTTTTAAGAGCATCCAATCATCAACTTGTTGACAAAATGAATTAAGTTGAATGTACTGTTTTAAAAGCTTTCACATCTGAATTCAAACTTCGCACAAACCCTGTCAAAGCCTTCAATGGAATGTGTGTGCGGCTCACGTCAATAACTTTTCCAGTAATTTGGTCGAGCGTGTTAATTTCAGTGACTCGAGAGCGGCGCTACTGTGGGCTGGTTTATAAGTTTTCCCTAATAAATAACATAGAGTTAAAGTGTTCGTTTGTCCGGTGCCGAAAATATCACAAGTCATGATGAAATGGCGCCGCCGAGCCTCGCATCTCGGTAGATTTACTTTGTGGCATAACGGTTGCGCTGCCGAGCTACACAACTCGGTAGATTTACTTTGTGGTACAATAGACTGCTTGCAGTCCGCCTTTTTTCTTTTAAATCCGTCTAGTTCTTATCTCATCCAGCGCGATTGCAAACTACGACGTTATTATTACTAAAGGGAATGAGATTTTTTCTTCTCGGGCTTACGCCCTCGTTTCTCGCGGCTCTCGGCTTTGCTGCTCGCGTGCTTAGGTTTCGCGTGCAGGAACTTTGCAAAGAAAAGTAAGAGACTGTTCGCAGTCTCGTGTTACAACGGCCGCCGAACTAAACCCGGTTTGATTCATGCACCAGGAGTCGCAGACATTTTGCAAAGACAGTGACGAACCATGCTGAAAAATATGAAGGCTTAATCCAAAGTAAAATTTAACAGCAAACTTCTGAAAGATGAACGCTTTGGACGATTCAGCAAACACAGATCGATGTACGCTTTACGAAGATTCCGCAAACTTTTTAAAAGATGAACGCTTTACGGGTCCTTTACGAAGACAATATCAGACCTTAGCAAACCGCTTTGGAAGATGAACGCCGCGGATACAAGAATCAAATCGTAAGCAAGCGCCTCAAAGCGGGGCAAATGTGTGTCGACGACGAAAATGAGGTCTCAAAAAAATGTCTTATTAATTGCACAGGACACCCAACACAAATTAGGGGTTGCGTTCTCGTACCTCGAACGCAATAAGAATCATGGCTTTGTCGCGGCTTACCACTACTAATAATATATAAAACTCGAAGTGATCTCGAGATATCTCAAACTAATTCTGCTCTCACTTCGTCAAAAGGCCGACTCAACCGAAAACGCACGGACTTAGAGTGCCCAATCCTGTCTCCGTAAAAAAGCAACTTTGGGACGTTCCTGAGTGTCGCGAATCCTTTACTTGGCGCTTCGCCCAAGTAATAAATAGTTCCATGAGAAAGGACTGCTGATCGGAAGAGATTTCATTTCAAAGGCCACACTAAAGGATTTCATCCACAGACTCAAAAGTTTAAAAAAGCTACATATTTAACAGATAGTAGTGCCATATGAAAGTACTATTGACAGTGAGAGGTTTCATTTGAATGTTAACACCATAGGATTTCATCCACAGACTCAATATTTAGAACTACCGCCATACTGAATAAATAGGACCACATGAAAGTATTGCTGAAGAAGAAGTTTCATTTGAATGGTCACACCATAGGATTTTATCCACTGAAGTTTGAACAACATAATTTGAATTAAATAATAGTACTGTGAAGAGTGCGGTGAACGAATTTGTGAACACAGAAACGTATACAAATAGGCCATTTGCACAATGGCGTCATTTTACTACTACGACCAGAATCCTTCAGGGTATTGCTTTCTTGTGCAAATTAAGGCTTTTGTTCATAAAACCTCACTGAGGCTACCAAATTTAAATATGAAAGGAAAAACGAAATGAATTCTGGTCTTAGTAGTAACAAGACGTCATCGTGCAAATGGCCCATTCATCCGTACAACTACTTTAAAAAATCCCCCTTGTGGACTAGGGAGGGAAAATTCCCTAACAGGGGTATAGACGCCATAAAGCTTTCGCTACACTACCCGTTCCCTTAAAGAACACCGCCCAGAGTGTCAGCTGCTAACATGAACAGAAACAAATTGGCCGACTCTAGACCCGCAAAGATACAAAAACTTGTGATAAAAAAATGTCAACAAAGCGTTAGAAAACTCGTACAGAGTCTTAGCTAAAATTGTTCAGTGTCCCAGTAATTACGGGGTTACACCCAATCACAGTAACGGATTGGAGGTCTTCTCCTTCTACAACAACCGCTGTCTGTCTCGTCCGGTTGAGTAGCTTGTAAGTCATGCACTAGGCAGCAGTTCTTCATCTGCATCACTCGTGCCAACTTCAGTTTGCACATCATCCGCATCACTTGTATCATCTCCAACATTGTTCACATCAGATTTGCCCTCACCTGTCACTGCCGAAGAAACAGGAACTAGAGACTGTAACTACACTTCGACTAGGCTCGCTTCCTCTCACTCCAAATGAAACAGAGCCACTAATGATTACAGGCTCACTCTCTTCAGCACAACCGTACCAACTTGAGATACAACAGGCGTGCTAGTTTCCTCTACACCTGTACCTCCAAAATCCAGCTCCTCAACGCAGGTCCGAGGTAAGGCTTAAGACGGCCTGCATGGAGCACCCGACTTCTTTGTATGCGGTAAGATGTGTCAGACAACACGAACACTGTTAAGTAAGGACATTGCCAGGGGCAATCAAAACCTGGGATTCCCGCCTTTCTTCCGTCGAAATATTGTGCAACCAAACAGGGGCACCCAACGAGAATATGGTTCAAAACCACTAAAACATAGCATTGTTAAACGTATTTTGGTATTTAAACGGTAGATATAGGCATATTTTCATCCCCTAAAAATTTTTCATCTGTTCGGATTTCCTAGCTGAAAGTCTAGTGATCCGAAAATTATAGGCATCAAAACTTACCTTTTCGAAAATTTCAGCCAGAAAAAAGGCTCCCGAAAATTCTAGGTGACCTTTTTAAGGTAAAAATCCGTTAAAAATAGGCAATTATACCATATTTTAGATGTTCGAAAATCCTAGGAGAAGTAGGCAAGCAAGAAATTTTACAACAAATGTTCCGAAAATTCTAGATCTCAAATCGTCTTCCGAACAGATATTTTTCCGAAAATTGTCGTTGGGTGCCCCTGACCAAACACTGTTACTAACCCGAAAAAGCTTGTTGGATACTCGCTTGTCATAGTTTCTCTACTGGCGTTCGGCCGCCTTTGGTAAGGGTCGCCGCGCCGCCTGGTGTGCACTAGCCAATCTCTGTTGTAGGGCCAATGAATACTTTGTTGATGGAGGTTCCACGTCAGGGGTCGACGCAGTAATTACATCCAAGGGTACTTCAATTTCCCTCCCCAGCATAAGCATGTTTGGTGTCTCGCCGGTGGAATCAGGCCTAGGGACGGAACTTCGGTAAGCCATCATGCACGTGGGAAGTTGCAGGTCCCGATCGTCTTGACTCTCTTTCAACTCGCCTCGAAGCATTTCTATCACAGCTAGGTAGAACGGTACAATCGAACATTCCGACTGTGGATGTAGCGGAGTCGTTCTCGTTTTCTCAATGTCCAAGAGTTTACATACTTCTCTGAGATAACTTTGTGGTCGACGTTAGTCCCTTATCGCTGTGTATCTCCCGTGGAACCCCAAAACGACAGATTATTATAAATTCACCCACTGACTTTTCATCTACCGTGGAGGCGTCTTGGTTCGGGATAGGATAGGTTTCCCTCCACTTTGAGAAGTAGTACGTTACGACAAGAACAAATTTATTCCCGCGGGGAGTCAGAGGAAATGGCCAAAGTATGTTCATGGCATGCGTTCCATTGCTGCACCGACCACATACTTGTTTAACTGGGAACGTTTCTTCTTACCCCAGCTATTTGGCTCCACACTCATATCAAGCTCTGACCCACTTCTTAGCGCCCATCTGCTACAAACACTTGTGAACCACACTTGTGTAGCACTCATAGGATAAGACGTTTCTCACAATACCCGTGTCCACTAACCAGAGAAGGTTACATTGTCCAATAAATCCAACAACATAAAGTCCAAGTGGCCGGGACTTATGTTAAGGTACAACAGTCACATTTTCAGCCCTTCCACTATGATCCGTGTCTTAGCTTGGGCCCCCTTGACATTCAGCCATCCTGCCCTCGAGGACACCCTGTTCCAATTTCCCGATGGATAATTTGTGTTAGGACATTCCTTTCTCATGTGCCCTCTTCCTCCACAGTTCCAGCATGACCACCCCCCCTTTGTTTGGGTACCCCGTGGCACTTGATTTCTGGGGTGGGAGCCGGCGGCTGCAGTTAGGCACAGAACTGGTTCAGCTGATCAATGATATTTTGCTGCCAATTGTTGTTGCTGATAATCTACCTGGTGTTTAAGCTCGTCATTCTAGTTCTCTAGCGGGAAAGAGTGTGATCTACAGTTTCTGTTTTTTTTTCCTCACCTGAGTTAGAGCCTATCATCTTTGTCATTCAACGCGTCGACAAAATTTTGTACCGCAAAGGATTCTTGTATAGGGACACGTTCAATCCTGGAGAAAAGTCCTTGGGACAGTACTGCTATATTCATATTTTTCTGTCATTTCTCGGTTCCCTCTTAAAACAGTGCATCCTTTTCGATATTTTCTTGCAGTTATCCCTCCTCCCACCCTGTACAAAGTAGAAAAGTCGAAAAAAAAATCTGGATACACGCGTCCAACATTGTTTGTGGGGTTAGGGGAGTGGCGGGGGGGTTGGACCCGTGTAAATTGGAAAACGCCTCAGAAATGCAATATTCATGAATTGACTCGGGGAGCGAAAGAGCTGAAATCCCGTTTTTGTCGAAAAACCCATCCTGCATAGCAGACATTCGAAAGAGAAAGGGAAGGGGGCAAGTCCCTCAGCTACTTTGCTTAACCATTATCCTCATACTTACATCTCCCGCATACACCATCTACTCCTTCACCCACTTATTCTATCAGTGGGGGGAACCCATGTATTTGGCGATCCCTTTCCCAGCACCCGGCAAGCCACGAAGATACAATACGGGTTATTCAAAATCTGTAAAATCACTCTAATAGGACTGTTTAGCTTGTGGTGTTTTGCATTCCCAATGTAGGTCATGTAATAATACTCTAGAGAACTGTTTCATTCAAATATCGTCTTATTCCCGTGCCCATGTAGGCATAATGTATGAGAGGACAAAGGGGCAAATTCCCCCTGAGGCATTTATTGGGAAAACAAAACATACAATCTAAAGAGGTCTATTCACATTACCGAAAGCACACATAACACCTGTACATCGTGAAAGGATGCTTTTATTTTTTCAATTTTTGATTTGTTACATTTTTATTAATTAAAATAACTAAACCGTTCAACAGTTTTTTCATTACCTATTAAATAGGTGCTATACTCGATTTAACAAAATAGGTGCATCATAAATACAACCAGCCGTGTGATGGCTCATTGTTGGAAATGTACAGATCATGGACAAAAAAAAAAAAAATCGCCCATCGGCTTAAATATCGGACATCAAATCACACAAAAGTACCGTACAGTCAACTCTCTCTTAAAAGAAGACCTCTAAAAGACGGACACCTCAGTAAAACAGACACCTAGAGTTGGTCCCGGCTGCCTTTCATTGCTCCCTTTATTTGACTCTCTATAGGACGGACATCACTCTAAGACCGACACTTAGTGCCTTCCTAAAGGTGTCTGTTTTAGAGAGAGTTCACTGTATTCACAGACTTTTTGTCTCCTCCTCAACGTTTTAATTCGTTTATCATGTACACAAGCACAAAAACACAGCAAGCAAAGCATGGGAGAGCCGGCCAAGGGCGAGTTGAACGAATCGTAGTCTGACGTTCAGCCCAGTCCAACTCTTTAAGTAAACACCAGAAGTTACCAGTTACGTCTGACGTCTTTTTGCAACCGACCTCATGACAATTGCTGTTACTGAACTCGTTCAAGAAACTATCCTACTTCTGATTGGCCAGAAAAAAAATTAGCCAACCAAAAGCAAAGGACGTAAAATGTAAGTGGAAGTGGTTCGGTACTGGACAGTGCTAATCTGGCACAAGACGGGGAGCCAAAAATTTGGAATAAGCCAAGTCGGCTAAAAGTTCACGTGCAATAAGAAGAAAGGCTAGGTGGGCCATAGAATTGCGGTAGTTTCGCCCAAAGGCGTTCGCTAGGACTTAAGTCGATTCGCCCGATGACATACAATACTCTACAACATAGTGAACGAACTTCTCCGAGATGTTACTTTAGTTAACCTTGGATTCCACAAGTACAGTCACCGTCTTTCCATGCTTATTCCTTTTTCTCCGGATTAAAAAACGAAATTTACACATCGAGCGAATCGAGTTCTTCTGGGCGTACTGCCACCGGGCGAGACGACCCGACACCAGGCCATACACCCGTGCTGCTTTTATTCGTTTGGTTTTGTTTTCATCTTTATTTTTCAGTGTGTACAGCCCTCTTCCTTCGGGGATCCCCGTCAGCAGGCGCTTCATCTATGACCAGGGGACCTCGGAAAGTTACAGTCTCAAGCTTTTCTCTTGAACAGGCCCAACTCGATCCAAAGAGACGTTAAAATTTGAGTTGGGCTTAAACGTACAAAGGCGAAGTACAAACGGCTGGTAATGCTCGTTAGATAATTGAACAAATAAATAAATCTGAATTGGAATTTAAATTGAGAGCTCATTCCACTGTTATCCTGTACTTCAACTACAGTAGAAGCTCTCGTACGGAAATTCGAAAAAGTGGCGTAACAAAGAGCTAGTCGCGTCAGAGAATGAGCTCTTGTAAGCGATAGCATGGTAAAAAAAAAAAGAAGTTGGTAGTTTACGAGAGAGTTTCAGACGCTCCTAAATAATTCTGTGAGTGGTCGTTGCCACACAGGCTAAGTGGTCGCTACGGAAATGACTATACACCACCGTAAAAGGTCTTTATCAACGAACCATAAGTGCAGTGAGCAGTTTCATTTAACTGTTGATTTATATGAATAAGACTCTGAGTGGCCGTTTACGAGAGCTTAAAAGCAAAAGAAAAAACTCCATTTGGGTAATCCCAAAAGTGGACGCGGTCGCTTACGGCGGCGGTCGCTTTACGACAGCTGCTTTTCATTACAAAGTTCAAGTCGCAGTCTTCACACGGGGTTACACAAAAGTGGTAGTAACTGGGGCTGGTTGCTTACGAGAGTGGGTCGCAAGGAGAGCTTCGACTGCAGTTTGTTACAGTAGAAACTTAATTTATCGAACCTCCATGTAACCAGTTCTAATTAATGGTAAGCACCCTAAGTAAATTTAACTGGTACAAAGGAACAAAACACGAAAACACAAAAGTGAAAGCATAAGATACCCAAGCACACCTTTAAGTCTCAGTGCTTGGAGTTCAAATCCCAGTTATATTTCATAAAGCTGACTTTAAAGTTGCCGCTGATTAAAAGTTCCTCCAGTTGATCTTTTTTCTGTCCCTTTCCCATGTGAGCCAGGACGAACCGAACGAGCTGGAAGAAAAAGATAGTTACATCAATAGTAAGATACGGTTAGATGAAGACATAACAATAATGTACACCACATCACCGGCGGCTCAAATTTCCCTTTCGTAAACGGTGGCTGCCATTTTTAAGACACTTTGAAAACTTTTGACCTGATGTAGAGAGTGTTTCTATAAAAAAGAAAGAAGATCGCAACCAAGGGTCGAACCCGGACCTTTCGTCTCCCAAACACTCTCCCTTAGCACTACACCACCACACCGACCCGCTTACAACAGGTGACCTTAGCCCTTTCTATAACTTCTAACGTCAATTCAACTTGGGCTGTAACGTCGTTCTTTCTAAAACTATTCAAAAACGTATTATTTGCTTTATTGCACAACTTAATCCAGGGAATATCTTACATCTATAATGACTAAAGGTTTGGTTGCCAATGGTGGCGTCGATGAAAGGGAAATAGGCTTCAACACACTTCTGGTGTTTCGATACAGTTTTCAGCGGACCATGTAAAGGACAGTTATCAATCGGAGGCTAAGCGCTCTAATCATCAGGTGGATGATTCCGACCGTATCAACTCAACCTTAAATTACTAAATTCTAGCGATGAATCGGACGAGACGCCATCTTCCCTTTTCACTCTTTACAAATCTCACTTCGAGTCTTTTACAATGTGTTGACTATTTGCGTCAGCTAGCCTAAGATTTGAAACTTACATCTTCAGTAACACGTAAATTGAGAGAAAGGCTGTTTTATGAGTCAAATGGGTGGATGAGTTATGAGTCAAGTTATAAGTGAAGTCATGCAGATCTGAACACTGAAAACAGTGATAAGGGTTAAGTATAGTGATAACTGATTCAAAATGGTTAGTATTTATTTTAGTTAGGGGATTCTTTTTTACTTGACCCATGACGCACTGACTCGTTCAGACTTAATTCGCCGTAAATTAGACTATGATCAAGCAAGTTTGAAAGCAGCTTCGAGATGGAATTAAAAGAAAAATGTGCCGCCGTTGTGTGAAGCGGCAAAAAGTTGATACCTCTTCGTTGTTTGACCCAAAATCAATCTTGTACCACTGAAAGATCTTGCTTAGGCGAATCTATAGGATAAGACGACATTTGAATAATTTAATACACTCGCATGTACAGATAAAACCTTGTTCTTTCTGGCCATAAACATATGTTCATTCTTTCGTCGATTCCATAATTCGCTCCACATGGCAACAATTGCCCAAGTTAAGAATACTTCGTCGGACATCCTCACCAAACACACGTGTGTTCTCCTATATTCTATAATCCAAGTTCAGTGAAGACTATAACGTCCTGTCCTAATGTATTCGAATATTTTTGAAAACAGATACAGTATTTTTTTTCTCCGTTTTTTAAAAAATACACGTCCACACATAGCGTAATTGAATCGTTTCCCCCCGTCCACATGAAAACCCTTAACGATGGAAATATTGCGTCCCTTTCAGAGCATGCTTAATGCTAGTAGTATATGTATAACATCGGTTTACGGTCATCTCGCCACCAACGAAATCGCTACCAAGAAGTCTACTCGCCACCACATAATCACTCTGCAATTATTTACACTGTTTAATTACTTACCTGGGATTTTTACTTCTTCCTCAAGCCCAAACATAAGTTTATTGATTTTAATTGACAGCTTGCGTCGAACTTCAAAACTTATTTGCATCACTCGAGAGGTGTCATTTGTTTAAAATCCAACAGCCTTTCTTACGAAACACCATATAATAACTCTGCAATTCTTCAATTACCTGGGATTGTTACTTCTTCCTCAAGTCCAAATATAAGTTTATCGATTTTAATTGACAGCTTGCGTCGAACTTCGAACTTATTTGCATCGCTCGAGAGGTGTCATTTGTTTAAAATCCATTACAGCCTTTCTTATGAAAGTTGGTTGACATTGTCACTTGAACTTACCTTCTTAAATTTCATTGTAAATTTAAAGTGAAAGAATTCTTTTTAGAGACTCCTCTTTTCGATAAGTACATGTATTAAGATATATATTTCTTGCTGGCGATTTCATTCAATTTGGTGGCGAGGTACCGCATACCACGAGATCATCGTATTCACAAACGTCCACTTTAGGGAAGGCTTTTGAAAACCTGCGTTTTTGGCTCCCAAAAACGCCGTTTAAGTCTGGACGGAAAGTTAGAACGCTGAAAAAAATACCCGTCTCCAAAAATATCTAGATACGTATAGACGGGAAATAAAATTAGTCAAATTATTAAAGTTTGTTACTCTTCTATTTTCCGCGCGATTTTGCAATTTCGTGACAAATCGACTGCTTTCGTTAAAATCACTTTGCACTTCTTTACAGATGATGTCGATGGCTCTGGCATTTTTAAAAATCCTAATAACTCCTTCATCAAGTTTATAGTATTTAAGCAAAACAGGAAAATAAAGGTGACAATATGATACCTCTCTTTTCGGCATGTTAAGGACACAACCATCCTCTCCTTCCAAAAATGCCTCAGCTGCGAGGGACAGCTCCTCGTCAATCCCCTATGCACATCAGAAAAAGGAAAAGTATCCATTTACTTGTCTAGTACTAGGACTGTATAACAGTTTTATGTTGAGTTTGGGCCCAGGGAAATCAATGATCCAATCAGAACCGGGCAAATATATGGAAGCAACGCCAGCAAGCGGGAAAAAGACGTGCGCATTATCCTTCCGAATGATTAACAAACCGATAAGTAATATATTTTCAGCCATTCACACATTGTCCCATAACAGTAAACTAGCAAACATCGCCTTATATAATCATTCGAAATACTTTAGGATGGGTTGCCTGTTCCAAGAACACCTGGTTCCTAAGTTATGGTCACTGTAGCCTGTTCACCGTAAGTGAAGCGTGACACTTTTTTCTTTACAGATTGTCTAGCCCTTTGAAAATAGAAGTGCACGACCTATACAGCCCCTGTTTACCTTTGCAAGCAACAGCACATGTGGGCGACAAAGTCTCTAAGCAGGTGAAGACTTACCGCAGAGGTGTAGGTCTTGATCGGGGGACAGCTCTTGGCACCGCAAACAAGGGCAAAATGGATCTTCGGCTCGGCTTCCGGTAAGGCTATCTTTAATCTGGGGTCGTTCTTTGAAAAAGGTTTAGTCACAGCACCAATGGCCTTACGGTTAGAACGAAGAACTCCATTTTCAATTTCGTTGAGGGCAAACGAGTGACCACCAATAACGTAGGATATGGTATTGAAAAACTGCAAAAGTATTTAACGTAAATAGCGGTTTAAATGGCCATTGAAAGAACAAAGTAAGTGTTAAAGTATATGCGTAATCAAAGGGCTTTGAGAAACCAACTCATGAATACGTGTATAGTCAAAGCGACAGTGAAGCAACGGCGATGTCAACGGGAACGTCACTAAAGTATTAGGTTTAATAAGCGGAACAAGAACGTTGCATTTGTATCACACTTTTGGTAAATTTCTTTGCCCGTCTCTTTCCCAGACGTCTCTTTCTCGATGTAAAGTTGTGCGCAAAGGAAAGTGAGAAGGAGAAAACGGGCAAGTCTTCTTTTTCCTTACCGTGGTCCCTTGCGCTTCGTCACCAGGCATTTGCGCTCGCCTTCGTCGATCGTTGGCGAACAAAGTACGAAAACGATGCGCCTGAGGCCGAGGAGGAGGCAGTTTCTTCGGTAAAAACTTCGTGTACTGGACACAGATGCCGTAAAACAAAAGACTTCTTTGTTTTCTGTTCAGGGAAAAATCTTCTTGGTATTGTTTCATGGTTCTTGCTCTACTGTTTTACGTCATTTGTGTCCGGTGCACGAAATAAATGTTTATTGACCTTAAATTGCCTGATTTCACTTTTATTGAGAGCGTTAACTTGGGACAATGGTTTCTTTTTTCTTTTATTTTTCTCTGAACATTGATAATGTCGAAATCGTGTCCTAAAGAATTCAACTGCAGAAAATATTTCGCCAACAATTGACAAATTGAACAAACATGAGTAATCACGATGAAGTATGAAACAACATCAATTCATCTTTTAAGTCATGGTGCTATCCCTGCCGTCTCAGTCGGGTCGCATAAGACCAGCTTCAAACGTTGCATTTCACGCGGTACGTGTGCCGAATCTAATGCAAATGAGCGACAACAGTAGATTTTCTTCGTTAGCATTAAATTCGGTAGAGGTGAAATGCGACGTTAGAACTGCGCCTAAAGTGTGCGGAGCGTGAAAAGAATTTTAGTCGAATTAAAATCTTTTTAAAAAAGTCCGCCGGTATTCTTTGTCTTCTTATTTTATTGCTTACAGTTTGTACTAACAACCTGTGGCAGTCATTAGCAACACTATTAATTAAAATTATTTCTTCGTTTCTGATTGGCTCAAATCCTACAGCTGATTTTTCACAACCAGCAAGCGTTGACCAAATTTGAAAGAAGTCTCACTTTGCAATATCCGTAAAATGACGCCAATATAATTATTACAGAATTGTCGCCAGGAAAATGGACGGACACCGAGAAGCCCTCTGGACGAAGTTACGTTGTTTTGGTAGAGAAAGACAAAATGGAGGAACATTTCACACGTTAGGCGAAACTACTGCCTAAAAACGTATTAGCAAGAACAGGCAAAAATACGACTCGACGGATGACATCTGCTATTGGGAGAATATTCGCAGAACTAAACGTCCCTCTCTATCATGTACTGCGACTCCGTAGGCGCATAGGCGACGGGAACTTAACGTCGATTGAAGAGAGCATGTTTCCGCTTGTTTTAAACTACGAAATACTTTGAATAAATAATAAAACAATTATTGCTTTCGGCTTTCGTATGATGTGAAGAATTACAGAGATTTCGGAGGGTGTTATCCCCCGAGGCCGAACACCCTCCTTGATCTGCATAATTTTTCAGATCACACTCAACCTTGTCCAGTATTGCTAATAATTATTTGTATCCTGACCTTATATCGCTGCCACAAATTAACAGGGGGTCCTCTTACGACATTAGCATGGATAACCAGAGCATTGTAGATGTTAATGAAAAAAGCAAGTGTCTCCTCTCTTGTCATTCCCTCTAGTTTCACACGTTGCAGTTCGGCTGTGTGCTTTATGTATGCCCCAAATTCGTTACTATGCGCCATGCCATTATAGTCTACACCCTGTATTGATCAACAAAAAAAAAATGTTGCAATAAGCATAACAATAGTTGCAACTTGAATAAGCCCCGCCCTCGACTCAGCGCTGCATTTAGGAGAAAAAGTCAATAAGCACTGCCCCCGAATAAGGGCCGCCGCCGTGGTATAATCATAAAACATAACTTTCACCTTTCCATCTTTCGACAAGAACTGATTGTACAGGCCTAAAATTAAACGTCGCAACTCCTCAGCCACTTGAGGAGCGGGTCGGGGTTCGCAGTCAGAGCTCATCCCAGAATTAAGAGCAGTGGATTCGTCATCCTCAAGAAGACGATAAATGCTGTCATCATCCCTAAACTCAGTCTGCTTTCCTTTTTCCAAGCTATGTCCAAAGTTGCGCTCAACAAGTTGACGACACATTTCTACGGCTTTTTCTCTATCTGAAAAAAGAATAAACTTCGAGTCAAATTTTCCCACAATATCTGTTTCAGACACTCTTGGAAAAGATCAACATAATGGCAAATGCAAGACACAGTGTAACATAGACTTGCCTACTTTCTTTGTCAATATAAGCCAATCCACTGCCTCCTTGCCAACAAAGGAGTTCTTATAATTACGTATCAGTCCTTTACGGTGATCTTTTATCAGTCCGCTTGCTTTGAAGTCTTTGACAAACTGGGCATATTCATCCAACTCACAAGTAAAGTCTATCTCTTCAACCTCCTTACCTGAAATAAAAGTTTAATTTAATCAGTTATACTTTTTACATACAAAAACAGTGATCCTTGTAACCCAAAATATTGTTATATTTTAGTACAGTATACATGTGTAGGACACAGTGCAGGATACAGTGCAAGGACACATCCAGGCTTAATCTAGCAAAAAAGCCACACATTTATGAGTGGTTTAGCAATATATGCATCAATGATCAATCTGTCACTTATATAGTCCCTGCTTTGACTTGAAAAGACCATTAACAGTTGTATACTGGCAGGGTCCTGGCCTGGGATGGAGGCAAGGCTGAAGATGACCTTGTTTTCATAGAAAACTCACTTTCTTACAAACAAAAATTCATGCGCAAGGCTCGGAATTAATGGTAGCCCATTAACCAATGGTTAGTAGTTTCCAATGTTTTGTTTCTAAAAATGAACCTTAGTAACCCAAAATGGTTATTAAAAATGTCTGTCATAGAAAAATCTTCGTACATGTATTCCTTAATTTTTGCATAAGATTGTGTTCTATCTCAAACAATTTATTCTTCTAAAAGATACGGTTACAGCATAATCGAACAACTCAAAAAATGCGCATTTCACAGAACTCATGGTAACCAGGCTTTTGTTGGATGGGGAGATCCATCTTGCTTGTTTCTGTGTTTGTTTTGTTTTCTTTTGCAAGTGGCCCATTTATGCACCCTATTTATTATTCTGATCAGATGCAGAGATCATTGGATAGTTTTTTTCAGTGAAAAGGTTGGCACCCAAAATTTGTGTGAGGACATGGAAGATCGAGAAAAATAACAGAGAAGTCAGTTTCAAACACTACACAAGGCTCCTGCAGGGGGTATGAGGAAGAAAAAAAGAATTTTCTGCCAAGAATTAATTGAAAAAAGGCATTCAACTGGCTGAAGTTCCGTAAGTCTAAACAAACAACATTTTGCAGTGCTTATGATGAATTTCCCACCCTCGAGTAATGCAATTGAAAGGAAAATGTAAATGAGCATTAAATCATCTGTACTTCTTTTTACAGATCATCATACAATTTGAACCAATCCATCCATACGTCAGTTTGCCCCATTTATTAGCACTATTTTCAATAGTTAAAATATTTTTATTTCAAAAACAGATTCTTGGATGATAAACTTTATAATTTGGTTAGTAAAATTTATGGCCACTAACCCGAAGAGTTAAATGTGGTTATCCAAAAAAATTGTTTTGAGCCCTAATGCACATAAATGGCACTAAGTTTCATTCAAAACAAAGTCACCACCAGCCTTTCCGCCACAATTGGTGACTAAATTGTTGAGATGCTGTCCTCAAATGGGGTATGCAAATAATTTGGAGAACAAAACAAACCTGCCCCTCTCCTCCATTCAACGTGTTTGTTGATTCCTACGAGTGAGTTTAAAAAGCAGCACAACATTGCATGGAGTGGGGAGGGGAAGGAAAAGCCTCATTATCCCTTTTGAAGTGGGCAAAATGTCAGAAAAAAGCCCTTTAGGGCAAATTGTCTCAACTACCATGTTTCCTCGAATAATGACTCTCTCCCAATTAATCGCCTCCCAAGAATCGCCCCCCTTTGATAGAAATATTTAAAATAATCGCCTCCCTCAAATAATTGCCCCCCCCCCCACACCCCTCGCCATCTTCTCTTTCTTTTATCCTCTCCCTGTCAAGTTGAAGTGGAATCTGATCCAACAAAACTGATCAGTGACCACTCAAGCTCTGAAAATTAATCAAGGAACCAAATTAGGAACACTTAAAAAGCCCATGGATGTTCAGTTTATTAGATGCGATAATTTTTTGATTTAATGGAATAATAGAACAAATATTTACTGCACGGCTTCCAGTGAGCAATATTTGAAATAATCGCCTTCCCTCAAATAATTGCTCCCGGCTATTATCTGAGGAAATATGGTAATTTTGTCGCCGATTGTAGGTTGCTTAGCATACAAATGTAAAGCCAGTTATTTCCTTACCACCCTCCGTGTCTCCAGTCTTAGGAGTGGGTGGCTGTGGAGCATCTGGAGGGGCTGGGTTCTCTTCTACTTCTCTGATTAACTCTTGAAGTTCAGACTCAGTCTGAAAAGAAGATATTAGAGCGATTTTCATATGACCTTGAAAAATGGTTTCAGTAAGTGTTCATTATTTGTTTTATCAGCCAATGGATAAAAAGATCAAAACATGGCCTGTTCATTTTCCCACCAAAGAAAACACCAATATGGAGAAGGTGTTGTTTGATTGGTCAATGGTGTTGCAATATGACGTCAAAGCGAAGTATCGGTTGATTTCCAGAAAGTTATTGGGCATGAAATTTTCCAACCAGGCGTTTGCTAAACCAACCAAAAGCCACATGCGTTTGTATCTGTTCAATAAAACAATCAAATCGCTCTATTTCTGTTCGTCTGTTGTTTCTCTTTTGTTCATGCGTTTTCATTTCAAGCTAGGTCATGCAAAAATCGCTCTTAGCATCAACAGCAATGATTTCCTATTCAAGGCTACTTGCAGTTATATACTAGTTAAATGATATATATTGTATTAGCAATTTTAGACTTCATTTCATTCATTCAGCACAGGCTGGTTATGAAGAATTTGCCAGGGAATCAAAGCCAATCAGAATCCTGTCGCTAAGTACTGTACCATCCAATACAGGATTGTCCACAGCTAGTTTTCTGAATATATTATATATAATATATTTTGTGGACAAATGTTATAGAAAACTGTCGTGCAAAAGCAAAATTATAAGTGTTAAAACCCAAAACATCCCAAGATCTAAGATCATGAACATGTCTTGAATGTGGACTGATGACATGTATGTCTTGTACAGGTGATGGTACCTTGAAAATTGGGCTTCTCGGAGAATTTTGATCAAGTGTTCATTAGTCTTCCAGTCTCATTCTTGCATGTTTCTTTCCATCTTAAGGCCGATTTAGATGGTACGATTTTTGCTTACCACTATTGTGCATGACTAGCATATGTCATGACTTTCGAGCATTCCACACGTGAACAATTTTTCGACATGATCTGTGGTGAAGTCATGACACATGCTAGAGCGCAAGATAGTCATAAGTAAGAATCATTCCGTCTAAATCGGCCTTTAAAGTTCAGAATGTCTGCAGAGTCTTAGGTTTAAAAACAAAGGTCTCAGTAACTATGTACCATTTACAGCAGTGATCATATTGGCGTGAACACCTAAAATATGTCTGGAATGTTTATTGTGATGTAACCAATCACAGACGAGATCATCACACCACAGAAACCACAAGCAACGAACGGTTTCCTATCTGTCACGAAACAAGTTATTTTCATTTTGTTTTAACATTCAGTCTTTTTACAAGTATACAATTGCTTTTCCTTCCTATTTGTTTACAGTATTTGTTATAATAGCGAAGAATACAGGTTTGAGCGATTTTGAAATAAATTACAAAGCCGATGTGCCGGGCCTACGCACGCGACGGTTTGGCGCGCGAGTTTTCAAACTTTTTGTAACGATCGAAATCAGTAATTACGGCTGATCGCAAGTCACAATGTTGCAAGGTAAGCCGCTAGAGTTTTCTGATTTCCATCGCTTCCCAGCTAATGCAGTAAGCGTAAACACTTTTTTGGGAAAAATCGAAGCAGATCGAAGAACTGCGATCGGAGATAATCATATTTTTTTTTCTTTTGCGCGCAAAATGTGCTTATTTAGACTTGAAGTCTTCTTGGCTAAATCCCGCCTCATAACTGGCTTCCTATAGCATCTAATTCCCCAGATATTAAATGCGTAAATGTTTTCAGAGAAAAAGCAAAATTATACTTTGGAAGGAATACCGAAAATTGGACTGTTTACTTTGCGCAATGTGCCAATCATTCCATACATATTGAATTTGGTCGGCGGTCTTTCCAGGTTGCGACCTTGCGATCAAGGGACTTCTGACAGCACAGTAGTTCGAAGGTTCAATCGTTAGTCCACACAAATCGAATCCCCTTGTTCTACAAAAAAATATTAGCAAGGATTATGCTATCAGAAATGAAAAAATCACGATTGTTCATTTTTTATTGTCTTCATGTGATATGTCGTTACATGGAAAGCTGGCGGTCGTCGTGTCGCGTTGGCTTCTAAAACTTTTCTTTCTAAATTCGAACGATGTACTGGATGCGGTCCTCAGCACTGATTTTGGGGAACAGCGGTGTCTTACACTCCTAATAAGGCAGTTTGTATCCTTAAACAAAACCAAAATAATTTGTTCCATGACCGATCGGAAACTGTCGTTGCCTGTGGTTTCTGTGGTGTGAAGATCTCACCTGTGATTGGTTGCGACACAATAAACATTCCGGACATATTTTAGGTGTTCACACCGATATAATCACCGCTGTAATTTCAGCATCTCTTTGTGTGTTTCATTCCACATGATTGTACAGGAATGAATAAGACAATCTTACAGCTCAAAATTATCCTAAAACAATTTGGAATCATGTTTGCAAAATTATTTAAACAGCATAACAGCTGCCCTTTGCAATAACTATTTGGAAGTGTGGCAGGCATGTGTATTAATGCATAATCAATACAAATATGTAAAAAGTATCAAAAGTATTACATCTTATATAAATATAGCTCTGTCATTATTAAAGAAAGAGTCTAGATTATTGTTACTCTCGAGTTGTCAGATGAATTAATGCACTGTCACCATGACATACATAACAACCAGTCTTAATTCATTTGCATATTATCTTCTATTCTTTAATCCTTGAAATATGCATTTTAGTAAGCTTAAACTGAAACCACATCTCATCAGATCTGATGGGATGTCTAGTTGCTACTCAATAAATGCTACACTTCAATAACAACTGTAACTATTGACCCTTCGCCCCTAAAAATAACTTGGCGCGAATTAAGCCACTTCGAGTTGTGCTAAATGAGCTTAAGCTTATACCTCTTATGTATTTATTGATGTCATAGCAAACACCCTGTAAATATCCTTTTCCCTTTATAGAGAAAAAGTGTATACAAGTGAACTTGGAAGAGTTACATGTACACGCCATTTTTTGAAATAAACTCCAGCTTCATAATCAAACGACAGCTTTTCCATTTTGGTTTAAACTGTGATGCTTGAACAACCTTAAATAAATAAGTTTAACTTAGCTGCAAACAACTTGCACTGTACGAAAGTCGAAACATCCTATCGACAGTCTAATAACGTCAGAGTAGCTGTAATATATTATCTTACCAATTTATCGAAGTCGTCGAAGCCACCAATATGTCGGTTATTAAAGAATATTTGTGGTACGGTATTTCTTCCTGATTTTTCCTTCGCTTCGGCCCTTCGCTCGGGATAATTGTCCAAGTTGATATCGATGTATTCTATGCCAAGTTTTTGCATCTTGTCCTTGGCTCGCATGCAAAAGGGGCAACCAGTGATGGAAAATATTATGACTCGTCCTTTCATATTTGATCAAAGATGAAGATAGAAATGTCTTCCTAAAGTTGCGTCTAAACTGTTCAAGGTGCAATACAGACGAGAATGTTAATACAGCTGTACATAAGTGAAATGCAAATCGATGATCGCTCTGTCATAGAAATTTCGCGCTGCAAGTCGCGCGTGACCATCGCGTGATATACAAAACTGGAAGGGGTAGGTACGGGGAAGCCTTAAGTTTGATGCCATAAAGTGGGAGTTTTAACATTGCTGTCGTGATTTTTCATCCTGGCACAGGAGTAAAAAAACAAAGCCAGAAATTTTATCACATGTCAGTATTTTCTATGGGCCGATTCCTTTAGTAATTTACCTTTTTATCACTTCCCAACCCACTACCCCCAATATTTTTTGGGTATACTTCCCCTACACTCGAATGACGCGCGAAGGAATATCATATTATGACGTAAATGACCATAATGATGACGTAAATGAATGGTCCAACCTATCTTCAAAATAAAAATAGGAGTGCCATCACGCAAGACGTCTAGCTAAATAAATAAAATTAAGTTAATAATAACGTTTTATGTCACTGTGATCAGTAATTACGGCTAATTACTTAAGGAGAGGCCAAAGCCTATGAAACGCTTAGAAATTAAAAGCACTAGACAATACAGTATGGCTATCAGCTTAGTAACGATTCAAGGCCTCAAAATCTTGGAACATTATTCTGTTGAAGTTTTTAAGAAGAGTGGTAGACTAGAATCTGATGCGAAAATTTGTTGACCCGCAATTTGTTGCTCTAATTTTCATTAACGGTTAACCGTTTGGCGAGCTCTTTTAATTCCACTAGCTGATTCAATTTTAACTTCGGCGTTTGTGATTAGAGTATAATGACGAGTCAGTAATTTCTTACGTTTTTAAGCCAAATGAATCGGAGAACAGATAAATGTTACGTACTTTAACATTGTAATCTGGTGGTAATGAGTTTGTTAGAGTTTTCGTTTCTTTTTACCTAGAAATTTAAAGCTACGTTGTCAATTGCGGTCAGCAAGCTCTTAGGCTTCTTTGCAAATCATTCAACTATATTCCTAGGAAATACTTGATTTCAGTCGGTGCAGAACTGCTGTCAGAGTGCTCAATAGCCCGGGGGTATACTTCCTAGTAATAGGCTAATGGGATGTGCCGCCTGATGGGGTCGCATTTTCACGGCTGGATAGACTATAATGGGGTTGCATTTTCATTAGAGTTACTAGAATGGGATCGCACATTTTCGTGATTTGGGGGATCAGAAAATTCAGGTAGGCAGGTATTTAAAAATGGGAAGATTTTTACTTCATTAAGTTTAACCAATGTGCAAATTATAGTAGATGCACAAACGGAAAGTTACTAACTTGGGATCGCAAAAATTACATTTTCCCAAAAGTGACTAAGATAAGGTCTATATTTGACCACAGAATAGACTATAATGGGGTAGCGGTTCTGAGAGGCCAGCGGCACATACCCAACACAGAAATTAACCCAAGTAACCCCCAACCTGGGCTCAATAGAGAGAAATAGATGTTTCTTGCTCTCAGCGCGGTGTACGGCTAATTACTTGTCAGGCGCTTTAAAGTGGGCTATGTCGAGGTGTGGGTCATAAGCTCAAAAGCCTAATCCGGATCACCATGTTTTCTCAACCAGGTGGAGACTCCTGCGTACAACATGGCGGGGATGTTCGTTGAAAATTAGAATTAATCCCTTAAATTTTAAGGAGACTAATCAAGGCGTGGTTCAGACTTACTTTGACCCCGGAAGGAGACCTTCCTACGACACAGTATGACCGCGTTTGCTATTAGGAATTTCTTACGCACAACCCAAAATGATACCTTTTTAATCTGAGCTCTTCTTTTTTTCCTGTCAATGAAAGTGTGTATGATTACCTCGTCAACTAATCCGAGAGCCTCGTGCGTCATCATTAACGTTTCAGCGCAGCCGAATTCATAGACTGAGTCGCCAACCGACGCCACATAGAACGACTGCGACCATTCTGGTCCCAAGAGCCCATCGTTTCGTTTGGACGCGTGGTCCGTTACAAATAAAGCCGAGTTGCTCTGGGGACGAGAATGGGCAGCGACAAACACTAATCACTGGTTTCTCCGCCAAATGACGTCTGAGAAACGAGCGCAGAAATTTCATACTGATGACGTGTCACTACCGAGATCTGGGTAGTGCTTCTGATTGGTCGTGCCTCGTGGGAAATTTGATTCAACCAATCAGAGGCACTACCCAGATCTGGGTAGTGACGCGTCATCAGTATGGAATTTCTGTGCTCGTTTCTCAGACGTCATTTGGCGGGGAAACCAGTGGTAGCGTCGCCAAATATCGACTGTTTTCTCAGGCTACGACTAACACCGGTCTCAGGTAAGATATCTCATTAGAATTGTCAGGAGCTCATCAAATAACTCTTTTGCGTTGTTAAACTTTTCCAATCCCTCACAAGACCGTTGCGCGGATAAGACAGTTTCCCAATTGGCTATATGCTTGTGAAACAGCATTAAAATGCCCAAGATTGATATTTTATAACCAGCATACCATATTTATGGGCAAATTAGCCTGTTCCAGGCTCCAAGATAGTGCAGCGCCACGTACGTCCCTACTATCTGTCTGGCACAGGCTATGTGCAAATTACAGTAGATATATACAAAGTGCAAAACTGTGTTACGTATTTTCTAATTCCGGTGCGGCTATACTTAAAAATCCTACGACTCGTTTTTGTTTTACATGTAATAGTTTATTTATTTCTCATAATTACTGATAAAGTTTCGGCAGAAACAAGTAGCGCACTTCTCTCCTACTTGACCCTCATCCCATCATCCCTCATACAGATGAGCCACGGGAGACTTATTTACAGGATAACCAGCCTCTTACGTGTTCTGCTGGACAAGGTAAGGCAGTTTCAGTTCACAGTTCAGGCGGGGCAAACCAAGATATGTGGATTTCGTTCTGCAAAAACTCTGTTGAGCCGGATCTTTAACGAATAAATGAATCGTGTTTGGAGAGGCTATCCAAGTTTAAGCCACTGCGGGTATAGCAACAAGACAACCTGTGTTAGAATTACCATGTTGAACAGACAGTAAAGAAATCCACCAAGAGATTGTATTTTTTGCGCAAATTCGGGAAAGCAAACCTACCCGCAGAGATCGGCATCACGACATATTGTACCAGAAAAGGCACACTTCTGGAATATGCCTCCCTGGTGTGGGGCGGGTTACCGAAGCACCTTGCAGAAGCGTTGCAGTCTATACAAAACGGGTGCCTAGATATCATCCGGATACCAAGAATATCTCTTCCAATGTTAGAGGACAGGTTCAACTAGACAGGTGAATTAGAAAGAATTGTGAATGATACTAACCACCCAAATCAAATTTTTCGCACTAAGCCAAATACTAGCCACGACTATAACTTCCAATTAAGATCCAAACCAGGTTCAGTGGCAATACCAAAGTCAGGAACATACTAACTCGTTTATAGCGGCAAGAGCTGCAAGACTCCTTCTGATCTGCATATTTTTTACTTACTTTTGTATTAGAAATATACTTAATAGTGTAAAACTCTGAAAGGTTTGAACCCAGGAGTCATTTCAAAAGGTTGAGTTTGATCGTCCGGGTGAACGTAGTCCTGAATAGGGCTGTTGTTGTTGACACTGACTGACGTTTCGACAACCTGTGCGGTAGTCATATTCAGACTCACCTGACAGCCTACAAGACGAGACTGATTATCTTAACAACGTTTTTAGTAAGAACAATTACAACACGGACTTTGTTAGACGGAATTGTGTTGCGCACAAACCGATAACCACTTTACGGCGACTGCTTACTAATGTCAAGGACAAAGACAAACCGGAGGAGAGACAGGGAGCAGTATACAAGATCAAATGCTGCGACTGCCAGGCTTCTTACATTGGTGAAACCGGCAGAAACCTAAGCACGCGACTGACCGAACACAAACGCGCGACGAGGAATGGTGACGTCAACAATCACATTGCTGAGCACCATTTAAAGACGAAACATCAAATTGACTGGGACTCTGCGACATGTATAACGTATTCTACAGTCTACTATCAACGTCTTACTTTAGAAAGCTGGTTTACTAACTTAGAACAAACGCCACTGAATCGTAGCCAACAGTTACCAGCGCCGTGCAAACGACTTATTGACGAGATCAAGCAAAACTAACTACGAGAGAACAACTGGAGAACTGACAATTTGACTAACAATAGACGACTGTTTAACTGTGACAACAGACGGATCGAAACGCACCAATCACTGATTACGAGTCTTCATAGCTAATAACATCACGGCTTAACTGACAGACGATCGACCAATAACATCGCGACATAATTGACCAATCAGATCAATAACCAGAGAATAATACCATCAACTGATGTGATACAAACTCACTTTGACTCTGAAGATGACTACCGCACAGGTTGTCGAAACGTCCGTCACTGTCAACAACAACAGTCCTATTCAGGACTACGTTCACCCGGACGATCAAACTCAACCTTTTGATACTTAATAGTATTTCACAGTATATGTTTTTTAACTTTTATTTTGTAAATCTATTGTATATATACTTTTAAAGATGGATAAATAAAGCTTATTATTATTATTTTTCATATTGTATTTCCTTGTTATTCTTTACACGCCGCCGTCGCTTATGAAGCTTTATGAGGTGATGGTGGAACTCGGTGACTGGAGACAGTTGTGCATGCCCTTTGCTTAAAACAGTAGGTCATTACCCAGTGGATTAAAGCAGTTCAGGGGTTCAGTTCCAGTAGCTTTCGAGTGTTAGTCTGTCCACGAGCGGGAGGTCGCGAGTTCAGTCTCCTTAACATAGCCAAGATACTCATGCCGTCTTTCCCATGGCTAGACATTTCCGTGTCTCAAAGACCACGCAGAAGTAGTGTTCCCGTCTCCAGAACGCGTAAAAATAGTGTCCTCAAAAAGTTATTTGCGCTAAATAGGCTGGTACTTGCTGTACCAACGAATGTAATGGCGCCAAGGAGTTTGAGGAGGCACTAGGCTCCAAGGCGATCTTCATAACCAGGGTCAGTTTCACCCTACTTAGCGTATTATGACCTGAAAACGAGTGATAATGAATAGGGCTTGACGGAAAATAAATATGTTAAATCATCCGATTTCCATCCTTGCTCTGAGATAAGAGTTCAAATTTTAATTTGGCATCATGGACAAAATAATTCATTCAAACTAGTGCGTCAGTTTTAAGCTCGTGTTGTGATCCTCTATCCTGGCATTCAATTGGTCCTGCTGCAAAACGTCCATCGTTAGTTACCCGTGTCAAACGGTCTACATCAAAAGTAAGCTTTGCGTAGCTCAGCCACCTTCTTTAAAATTAAATGATAATTGACTTGAAGATTGATGTGACTGCTGACCTCCTGCCATTTGACACTGCGGATACCTTCTCTAGCCTGTAATAGCAAAGAAAGAAATTTAAAAGAACACGTATCGATATCTTAAAACGAATAAACCAATTTCCATTTACTTTGGTCAAATCAGCGTACTTAAAGTCAAATTATATCTATATACATATAGCTACGTAGACTCCAGTTGGTGTAAAGAAGTTTGCTTCACGCTTTTGACTTGACCGCTCCCCAGGATTAAATAAATGTTCTAACTGATTATAGATACACATTGATTTGCCGGCTTACTGAAGAATTTTTGGATCCGGACCGTACCTCAAACTCGAAATCACCGAGTATTTTTCTAGGTTCATCATGGAAGTTCAGCACAAGTGTTTCCATCCAAGCGTTGTCTGTGTTTCTCGGGTCATCCACGTATCCTTTGTAAACCTAAAAAATTTCACAGCAAATTAGAAGAGATTTTCCGGTATATACAGTGTGTATGTCACGCATAAAATGGGCTATTGTCACAAAGAGTCAATTCTGTACTGAAGTCATTACTTGGTGCCTTTACCTATCCACAAAATTCTCATCTAGAGATCTAGAGTGATGAGGAAGACACAAAAAAATTCGATCATGAAGCACTAAACATAAAAATTTTTGGTGATTTTTGCAAACATATCATTAAAAGTTGTTACTGAGGTTAGCCAAACTTTTCAAGTACAAGTTTCAATCCATGTTCATCCTCGCCATCCGTAACAAAAGAGCGGGAACGACAAGAGACATTTTCAATGCCTGAATATATTCTTAAATAATAAAACTGGACGATTATCAGTTTGAAATTCAATTGATGTGACAAACGTTTTTGCTTTTTAAAGACAGCTAATAGCATAACGTAGCCCCTTTTAAAAATAATCATTCCTACAGGACGTTACCGTATTATTTTTAGCAATCACCTCGCATTAAGAGGTTAGCATTAGTTCATATAAGTACTGAAGCCGGACTCGGGAAAAATCGAAGAATTAGAATTCTTGGAACTCTATCTACTACAACATTAAATACCCCAATAGCTAAGACATCTGCCGAAAGCTTACTTTATCTATAGGTCTAGTGTCAGTCTGTGTAGCCCACTAGGCTATTTATTTCAGTTATAAACTCCCTTGACTGGCTTGTCTACGTGGTTACATGTTTTTAATAGGTTTACGGTCATCCCGCCAAGAAACCATCTCGCCACCAACCAAATCGCCTACCAAGAAGTCGACTCGCCGCCAACCAACTCGCCTCCAAGAAGTCTAATCTCCACCAAGTAATGACTCTGCATAAACCGACGTGTTTACTCACCTAGGATTACTTACCTAGAATTTTTACTTCTTCGCTAAGCCTATTCGAATTTGATTATGGAGTTATATTACTTGGTGGCGAGTTGGTTGGCGGCTAGTCGACTTCTTGGTGGCGACTTTGTTGGTGGCGAGATGATTTGGTAGTGAGATGACCAGCTACTGTGTGATACCCCTCCCTGTACAAAGAATCCTCGCTTTCGACAGATTGAACTTGCCGCTTGCTTACGTACACTTTTTTCAGTTTTGTAAAAAAGTGAGAAAAAGACGAACAAACCTCCACAGCATTTTGAATCATGAAATCCAAGGTTTCATCCAGATTTTCTTTTCCATCACTGAAGGTGGGCTTTAGAGCTGGTAAAATTTTTTTATCCAACACCTTTTTCAGTGTCACAGATACTGAGTCCCCAACGTTTACCAGACCCTGTAAATTACAAAAGTGACACTTAGTGAGATACATGATTGCATTGAAAATACTTTCATCCTTACGTAACTGAAAAGGCCTTTGTGGGAAACTGGGACTCAGTATGACGTCAGTATCACGTGTTTTCGTCATGGAATATCCCACCCCCTATGTCTTCTGATGTTGTCTCTTATTGTTACTGTAAGAAACTGATGAATTGCTAGTCTGAAGGTTTTGAATTATAATCTTGAAGATCATCTGAAGAAAGTCTTCGATTGCGTCCGTTTTATTCAGCTTTGACTTGCCTTGTATTGTTAGGATAGTGCGGGTGCTCTTGCAAAACCACAAATAGTCGTGCTCATTCAGACATTCGTGAACTTGCCCAACAGGACGGGAGAGGAGAGAACACGGGAAACCTTGTGTGACAAGGATGACAAAAATTTTGTTTGAAACAACTTTTCGCCAAACTTCGCTTTCCTTGAAACAGATCTTTTTGTAAAGGACCAGAAAACATTGGTGTTAAGTGAAGATCACGACAAAACACACATGTAATAGCCCTGTCACAAACAGGTGTTTTGTCGTCCTCTTCTTCCTACCGTCCTGTTGCATAAACTCACTAATGATTTATCTCGGATAATTCTTTCAAATTATCTTTAGTGAGTCTACAGCTTTTTGCTTAAACAGAGAAAACGCTTCGAAAACGAATATAGATAGTGAACTAAGTAGACTAAGCAATTAAGATATTTGTAAAAGCGCTAAGATATTGCTATCGTCAAGCATTCGTCATACCCCAGGAACTGACCACTCTGCTATGTCTGGCCTCCTCACAGCCACGAATTCTAGCACGTTCTTGCCTTCCTTTTGAATTGTATTTCCGTCTTCATCTTCTTTCCACCTAAACAAAAATAGTCAAGGAAACCAGCTCGATAGATGTAGTCACCCTTAGGCTAATAAGACAAGTACAAAACAAGTATAAAAAGTGGCCCTTGTAAAATCGATTGCCAATCTGTCATAGCATGGGATCAGGCCGAATATTAGAGGAAAAGAGCACAATATACTTCTCTTTCCTTTAAAAAATATGAAAAGCTATTTACCAAGGAAAATTAACGTGTCATTTATCCAATTTTGCTGCGTTTTTGCTAATTATTAGAGAGCTTTAGACTGACGTTTGCAGCAAACGGCAAACGTCAGATTCAAGTCGAGAATTTCAACGTGAAGCTAAAACGGTCCGGAGCAAGTGTTATAGACTAAACTAACCAGAAGCTACTAATTTTGGGGTAGATGTCATGAAGAAAGGAAAACTTGGTCACATAGTGCAAATATACGATTGCCGTTTGCCGCAAACGTAACTGTAAATCTCCCTAATATGATATAACTTGAGATTCCGACTTTACACAATATACCGACTGGATAGTGATTAACAAACTGTAACAATAAAAAGGCAATCTCGTAATTTAAACAACTTTACAGTTGTTAATTGTATTTTCCTTCACCCGCAAATAATAATGCACAAAAAAAGTCCCATTAACTTCCGTTTGGGTAGTACGACCACAGATTGCTTGCTATCTTAGGCCAGGTTGCTGCACGAGACTGTTACGAAAGCTTTATTTGTTATTGACAATGGGTGCAAATGAATTCCAGTTGCTACCTAGTGGCGACAAGATGAGCAGCGTGATTAGGTCCCCACCGGCCAAATAAACCACGTCCTGCGATACCAGTTCTGCCAACAGGGTTTCTGTTGTGAAAAAAAGAAAAAAAAAAACAGGAAAAGCATACATCACATTTTCTTTCCATATAATGGAGCTTGCTATTTTCGTTTTGTTGATGTTTCTGGATAACCTCCTCCTGCAAACTCAACCTCATCCACCGATATAACATTTATCGCAATGGATTGGCAAATTTAAAAAAGTGTGTACATTGAAGTTTGTCATTCGACAAGAATTTACTGATTTGTATCTTCCTATTCAGCTGACGTTACATGCAGCCAGCACACGTGAAAATTATGTAAAAGTAAGATTACTGCCATGCTCATGTTATTATGAGCCCAGTTAAGCTTCGCTGGCTCCCAACAGCAAAATATAATGATCATCATTATTATTACATCAACATCATGCGATCATAATGACGTAAAATCATAATCGCCATCGCGATCATAAAAATAGAGGCAGGTTTTTATAGAACGAAGAATTTGGAGTCGGAGTTGTTGCAAATGCATGTAAGTCGGAAGCCGGGAGTTTATGGCCAAATAGAACTCAAAACGCGAATTCATAAGCGGCGTCATAAACTAAGTCAGTGGAATTGCAGTCTTTTAAAGAATCAGAACTTTTCTATTTTCCCACCATTGCTTACGATCTCAGAGGTGAAAAGCAGATTGTAGGAGCCAGAAGCAGCTAAAAGCGGAAGAATGAACCAGACATATATGTTGTGGTTCAAATTTATCCTTGGTTTAAATTTTATTTTCTTTTGTTTCAAAATCATTATCATACATTACCATACCCCAAAACAAAAGAAAAGAAAATTTAAACCAAGGACGACCACAACGTATACAATGCTCGTTCCCTCTGCCTCTAAGTAGTTACATTTTAACCAGGTCTGCGAAAACGCGCAGAAGTCTCCTATTTTCGCAGGCCACGTTTTTACATTAAAAGTGTTACCTTACCTAGGTAGCCGATTGACCACATCAATCAGCCCAGTGTAGCTTCTTCTGTTGATCCCATTTTCGACGCAATTAAAAATTATAGCTGAACTTGTCTTCCTAGAGTTAAGAATAAAATTTATCCTGTTAGCGTTAATCCAGACAGCCTATTCATATGGTGAGTGTGATTCTGTTAGATGGACTGGATTGGCCAGAGGTGTTTTGAATGCCATTATCCTGAGCTATAAGGAGGAGGAAAGTCCACAGTAAAAAGGGGTCTAAAAGTCCTTATTGTTCTACTTAGCAGCTTTTTTGTACGCCTTTTGATCCAAAAGCTTTTGAGAGCTATTGATTATTGTCTCTAGCATATAAAACAAACTTTTTCTTTGAGATTAGTAAGAGGAAGAGGAGGAGAGGGAAAACGATAAAAAGAAGGAAAAGGAAGGAATGGAGGGGAAATAATAGAATTGCAGTTGTGGTAGTGGAAGGAAAACAAGAGTACTGTGGTTGTGGTGGTGGTAGTGTGGAAGGGAAAACCGTAGAAATGTGCTGGTGGTAGTGTGCATTCCACCGCATTTTATTCATGAGATAAATTCAAAAGAATGTGTCTTCAAAATTCATCGGCGCTAAAGTAGTCCAACGCAAAAAAGAGGTCTAAACATCACCACTATACTACTCTACTAATAAAGGAACTGTTAGTAGAATTATACAGTTAATCGATAGAGTCAATAAAACCACTGAAAAAATTAAACTTAGAGGCTGGGAAAAATACGCTTCTTTCTAGCTATTTATCTCAGACCAGTTTAAACGATTTTTACATTATTCGCCGAACATTCCTTTATCCAAAGTTGAACGAACTTTTAACGAACACTTGTAATGACAAATGGCAATAGTGCTCTCGTAACTTACTGGACAATGTCAACGTCTGCCCATAACAATGATGCTTGAACTTCTACTGCGGTATATAATGGCGGATCATAACCCGGGAATACACCCTTCAAAGAACAAAAATAATGAGGGTGACATTTTTCATTGGCTGAAGTTGACATACATGTTTGGCTTCACCTGCCATCACTTTAAACAAACAGAAAAATTTAGGGCCAGGTATTTAATCGAAGTCTAACTTAAGCCGCGGTTTAACAGATCTTTGGACCGATCTCTTCCATAGTGCGTTATTTTGAAAATATAAATGCTTTTCTAGTCTACTGTATATGCTTTCATAAAACTGTTCACAATAAATTGTGTTTAGATAAGCCGTTGGGCAGATTGAAAATGGCTTAAACGCGGTTTTGTTAAACTTTGGCTAAACTACGTTTAAATAACTGGCCCAAAAGGTTTATGTACGTCCACCCTATTTCTGGATTAATGCGGTGTTGTTACTGGTAATTGTCAGTAATAGATTTGTTTTCAATCGACGTCTGGTCCTTTCTTCTGCAAGTTTGACTTGTCACATGCCCTTAAGACAAGTGTGACGTCACAAATATACATCATCTTGATATACAAACTTGATTTTGAGATAAACTTCATGAAACAAAGCCTTCTAATTTACTTCTTTTATTGTCGAAATTTTTCAGGAAGTTTTACCTTCGCTTTGTTTTGTACATACCTGCCAGGCAATAAGGAAGTCCGGTACTGGATAACGCTGTTGATTGCTGTTAGGATAGGGTGACTGCCTCGCTCTCACATGCTTTGTACTTTGGTTACTCGAACTCCGCCTAGCTGCAGTCTGCTTTGCTCGCGCGGCAACAGTTGAAAGACGTCTCCTGGTGTGTTCCTCTGATTTTAGTTGAAAATGGAAATTGTTTATTGACAAAATATCTCTCAACTTACACCCCTGCCGTCTGATTAAAATTAGTAATGAGTTTAATAGTTTGTCTGACATTTGATAGTCAATGACATGTCTCATTTAATTGGACGCCAAAAGAATATGGTTCCAGTCAAGTTCAATAGGGACTTTAAGATAGGTGACTACGGTCGCCTGGGACGGTTAGATAGATGTCACGTCACGCAAAACACGCGTGACCTTTTACCGTCGTCCTTCTGGGACGGTATGTTTTCGCCGGGTTTCTCGTCGTGAAGACAACGGTGAAACCGATAAGAGTTCATGCATAATTATTGTCACTTTTCTACTAAAACTGAGTAGGCAATGGGTTAAATATGCGTTGGCTTGTGTTTACATTGATTTATCTATCGGTGAAATGAAAAAAAAAGAGCGAAAATGTCTGAGTTCACTCATAACTTAGCTCGTGGCCGCATGGCGACTGCTTGTTTTCTACCTAGAGCCGTCCACCGTGGCAGAGGAAAATTGCCGAAAAGAAAGGTAAGGCCCAGTTCAAACGTTAATCTTTTCATGTACCGAACTTAATACCGATTTAGGTCGACCCAAATGGTTCGAGGTTGATTCAGGCGTCAAACTTACAGTGTAGTCGAACTCGATTCATTTTCACGATGTTCAATAGTCTAGAATGCTTTAAACAAGTGAAAATAAATTTTAGTAATTTGTGCTTTAGTTTCGGCACATGAGAAGTTCGACGTTTCAACTGGGCCTAACAGTGATGATTGTAGCCGTCTTTTTTATAACTTAAAACTGTATTTTTATCAAGAAAAGATTTCTTTATAACTCAAAAAGTGTTGGCTTGGGAAAGGAAAGTTCAAATAAAAACATCGACTACAGTTTTGAAAACTAGCTAGCTTTAATTTGTACACTTATTCCTCTGATTGGTATTCTTCGTTTAAAATAAGAAACTCTTCTTCAGCAATTGAGCCTTCTGCGAAAGAAATGACAAGCGAGTTTCACACATGACTTCACCGTCCTCTGTTTTGTTGTCCGATCTTAAATTGAAAATTTTCGCGGCTTCTTACCGTCATGGCCCCAGGCCGCCCGTATACGCATCCAACCGTCCCAGCCTACCGTAGTGACCTATCTTAAAGTCCCTACTACTAATGGTCACTTCCGTAGAAAGTCGGTCGATACATGCTCTAGTTGTATCTGTAGCTGTAAGTTATGTCAAAATCGCGAGGACATTGGCAGGGATGTATTTTCCGTCACAGGGTAACCATATGACTTGATTATATTTTGAATACTGTAGCACAAAAGAACCAGGACCGGTGCTACCACTCCCTCTGGAATAGATGCAAGTCCTGCTACCCTGAACAATTTGTCGATAGTATCCATTTACATTAGATAGTCACTTGCGTGGAAGAGTAGACGCTGAAGGAAGCGTCACCTCGATCTCTAGATCTTGGTCCAAGCATTCCTTAAGAGACCACAGATTCTCAAATGCTACAACACTTCCATACAACGTTAAGGCAATTTTGAGTCGAACGTCATGGTCGCTTCACAAGTGGATTGTAAAAATCCTGCATTTTTAAATTTGAGCAATTTTAAAATAAACTGTTGACAGAAATTATCCGTGCAATTAAATTTAATCGCACTTAGATCGAATTATAAAATCAGTGCTATCTTCACGTTCACTTTCGGTGACGACACTAATAGAGAGCTTTACATTCTAAGACGAGAACGACTACGAGTACGAGATTTTCTCAATAGTAAGTAGTGCTCGCGCCTTAGGCAGCGTCATTTGACGGGAACAGGTCGTAGCCGTCGTCATTCTACTACGAGTTTTAGCGAGTATCGTAGTAAGGTAAGGTAAGGTAAAGTAACGCCTTTATTTAAAGAGGGTAAACACGTAACAGTTATGAAAAAACTGATAAACTAGTGGCCCTCTATAAAACATAAAAACAAAACTAATATTATATTACCAAAATTAGTATTATAGTAGTGGCGGGAACAAGTTACAAATGTTAGAAGTTTTAGCATTTTGCAATCGGGAGAGGTCTTAACCTCCTTCAATAACGATAACCGTGCTAACTTTTCTGCTGAAAAAAAGTACAATGAATAATTCCGGGGTGTCTATTTCTTGAGATTACGCGGATAAACTTTAAATCAAATATCGTACTCGTAGTCGTTCTCGTCCTCGAATCTAAAGGTCTCTAATAAATGAAACACACCTAGTTCAGGCTGGTTGGTGAGTGAACCTTTCTCCGACTCCGACTGTGATTTGAATCGAGTTCCTGTACCAAATACGCTGCTACCAGACGCTCTTCGAGAAAAACTGGGTCTGCGCCATGCAGGTGATGATCCTACGTATAGTAAACTCAAGTCAGATGAAGTGCTCGATTATTTACTAAAACACTCTACATCTTCAAGACAAAGAAAGAGATAAGGGATCTAAGCTTTTCCTAATTTGTGGAGTTTAAAGGAGTATAAAATTTCCTAAGGCCGGCTGATATAGGCGAATCTTTGCTGACGTCACTGTTTACATTTTTCTTCATTAGCATACGACTTAGTTCATAGAAGCCGTTGCCGTATATATGAACTAGATGCAAAAGTTGAAAGAGCTAATTAACTTGAGCAATTTGTGCAATTTTCAGCTGTTTGCAAGCAATATTGAAGGAAATATCGGCCATCAAAAACTGCGAAATTGTTGCGTGGCAAAAAAGTTAATGGGCCATAAATTCTCTGTAAAATATAGAGTTTTAGAAGAGGATTTCTCCGAAACCATTCGTTGTACGTATTGGCCTCAAATTTTCAGAGATAACTGAAACTGTTATGCCCTTTCAATATTTATAGTTTTTATTTTATTAGCGTCATCAGATAGTGATAAGCATATGTTAATGAGGCAAAAAGTGTACACAAAGATTCGCCTATACTGAACAAGTGAACGCCTTGAAAAACGTTTGGGTGAAACTGTCTACAAGTAAGATAAAACGGAAGAGAATAAGCAGAGACGAAACGTACCGTTTTTGACTTGGAAAATACCTTAACAGGCAAAAATCCTCGAACAGTCAAGCGGTACAAGGCAAGTTTGTCGTTTTTTCGCTTTCTAATCATTGTATAAAATGAATAGATTCCATGTTGTGGTGCGTCTGTTCGGTATTAGATCTCAGAAGACTTCATAATGAGGTGACAAATTCAGTGAGACACTTGCCCATCATCTGTTTCTGGACTGGCGCATGGCAACATGGAATCAATTAGTTGAAAAGATCATGGGCAACGACCAATCAGAGAGGCTGTAGCAGTCACTGTACACATTGTATACACTCTTATACACCATAGAAATACTTAAAATCTTTGTAGTGAAACCACTCGTGAGTTTTGAAAATTTTGACCTAATTTCTACGCTATAAAAAAAAGGGGATCGTAGAAAGTTAATGTCTACTTTTCAAATGTTCAAGAAAAGAGATCAATATTCAGCCGTTAAGACCAAACAAGCTTTATAAATAAAGTATATATTATATGTTCAAAAGCAATATTCAGGGTTCGTACTCTTCAGAGCTCTTCAAATTCCATGACTTTCTATGACTTTTTCCATGACCTTAGGTTTAGCTGGCACTTTCAAAAATGTTTGGACTTTTCTTTTTTTAGGGTATTTTTGGACCTTCAACAGTTCAACAGACACAAACTCTGGTGTCCACCAAAATGCGTGCCTTTCGCGCTGTTCAATCACTTCTCCCTATCCTACATTGTCCTTACCTATCTACCAAACAGGACTTTCAAGGACCGAATACTAAACTCCATGATTTTCCATGACCTGTACGAACCCTGAATATTTTTTTGCGGAGAGAAAACGAGCAATCCCGAGCAGGCATGATTAGCTAGTCCTGTCCTCTGTCTCTGGTAGCCAATTAGGACACCTGATTCGCTTCACCTTGCCCGCTCGCGGCCCTAGTCATGTAATGAAGAGGTACCTGTAACGTCAATGTCGGATAAAGAAACAGTTCTACCCGTTTCTTTGTGCTCGTCACTGTTTGCTGATGTTTCGGTTTCTGGTGGCATCAGTACTTGCAGTCTCTCCAGCAGACCCACAATTCTGTGCGTGTGTTCTTCGAGTTTTGTTAGGCGAGTATCCAGGGATGAAATTGCCTTTTTGTTGGAGTTGGATTGACTGATGGACTCCTTGTACATATCTTGCAGTTGACAACAAACAGATTCCATCCTGTGACATAAGAGAAGTAAAATAGAATCAACGTTAGTTTGAGAGTAAAAAAATATATAGAGATACCCAACCTGACGAAATTTGCAGTCATTTGAGTGAAAGGCGTCAAAAGGCAGGTTTCTTAATCCCGAGAAGCTCCAAAATCACGGTTACGGAAGAAAAGGAGAAAAAAGAAAGAGCGAGGAGAAGGAAAGGAGGAGAAGAGAACAAAAGCAACGGTTGCACTCTTAGTTTTTATAATAGCTAATTTGGAGATGGTTTTTGGCCAAAAAAAACTGCTGAACGCACAAAGTCCATTTGGCGATAACGTTATCAAAAATCCTGCTAGGTATTATTTCGCAGGGATATCTATCAGCAACTAACCAACTTTCAACTATGAAAAAGCCGTAAAGATCTCTTTTGATAACGTACAAAAGACTTATTACACCATGCTCAATGGATTATTGGCAAAATCCAAATTATTAAATAATCTTTACCACACTCAGGGTGTTTTCCTTTCGGCGAATCCAAAAACGGTTTTTGGATCCTAAATTTTCCCGATTTCGCGTCCGAAAGGAATGCAAAATCCGAAAATGGATCTGTACCCTTGGTGAACCTTCGCAAACGCGTTTAATATGACGGCCTGTTTGACGAATTATGCGATGATACCGTGCAGAATCCTGTGATCGGCAATTTGAATAGTGAGGACGGAATGGAACATAAACAGAGAAGGCGCTTTAGAGATGAAACTAACTATGTAGAGGTTGTCGGATCAGTCGCTTTCGTCAAGTACTGACAAGACGAGCAGTTGAATTCCTGCAAGGCTTGCCTCATGTGCCTAAACAGGGTGTTAGACCTACCGAAAAGTGAATCACGAGAGTCTTAATTTGTTCAGATAAGGTCGGATTTTTTATATAGCACCTTCGAGTGCCTATCGCGTCTGCAAGTATGTTTGTAGAAAGATTGTAGTTCACTTGTCCCTTTTACGTATTTGTGTTTGTCAGCCATTTTTGACGACAAATTGTTAATAAATGGATATTTTGTCCCAAGAGCAATCTTCCACATGTTTTCAAGTGGCAGCAAAGAGGATTTTCTACTTTCGTACACAGCTGCATAATCTGACTAATTTCGAATCCATTGTAAAAAAACTGGATTTGAATTCTTCTGATTTCAAATCCAACGAATTCTTTTTGAACTGGACTCACTAACGCAAGATCCGTGTTAAGATCTAAAATCCGTTTTTGGTTTCGCCGAAAGGAACACACTCTGAGTTGAATAGCACAGAACACTGAGGATATTGCGCACAAAAAGCCAATTTCCTCAGGCTTGGTATTTACGTACTGGTGCTATTTATTGATTAAAATTACTAATAAACAGTGTAGATGCTGTTGGCTAGGTTTCCCGTTCCCTGCCCTTTGTAATTATTTACAACTAGTCGTACCTGTCTCCAATGACCCTTATTTTTTCTTCTTGTGTGGCGTGTAGTAAGGTATCTTTCTCCCTGAGGTAGCCATCTACACATCGTTCTTCAAACAAGGACATTTTTTGAAGATCGTCCCTTCCAAGAAAAAGCTCTACAAGGAAATGAGACAGTCACTTACAACAAATTTAAAATATACATATTTCCTTGACATTTTGTAGCGAAAAACAACGCAGCTGTATTCTGAAGCTACTTAAAGCTACGTGTGGTTGTTCAGAGGGAATCTGTCTCAAGCTAAAGCGTTAACAGATTAGCATAGCTGGTAATGGTTAGTTACAAGCGAAATGCAAACATGGCTGAATGTATCTCTGTCTGACAAGTGTAGAACGTACTATTGATTAACTACCCAATAAATGTAAATCGCTTATTGTGCTTGCAATACAGTACACGTCAGTACAACACAACCACTACCAGACAAGTGAAAATGCATTTCACAATCATGGTGCAGTACAGTATGGCAACACGACAGTATGATTTAATCAGCAACAAATAAAATACGACAAATCAATGCGGCAAATCCAAAGTAGGAATAATTGGATCACTTTACGTTCCTGGAAAACTGCACACCTACCCCTCCCCTTAGCCAACATTTTGCCCTAAGTAAGAACTAAGTGTTAATTAACGTTGGTTTAGGGGAGGGGTAGGTGGGCAGTTTCACAGAAACGTAAAATGATCCGAATAATTTATTAAGAAAGGTCCAACAATGATACGGCGGAAGGCCTTCCCAAAACAATACACATACTTAAGCCGTATGAGCGGGTAGAGTCTTCTCGATCTACCGTCTTTTGTCGGCAACATTTTCTAAGTCGTCTATATATTCCTTTTATCAGATGAATCACGTGATTCAATATAATGAAGGGTGGAACCAAGACTGGCCTCTGCGCATACTCCATAACCAGATAATATCTCTGAAATTTCCAAATTTGATTTGCATTGGCTTGCACGCTGTTGTACGTGTTGCTGAAGAATAAAAACAAGACACACGGTGTAACGTTTCTTTTGTATCGAATAATCGTTTTGTAAATTCATTTAGGTGAATGTGGATTGTGGAATAGCACGCAGCGAGGTAAAATTAAAGAGGGCTGGCTTTCGGGTTGATCAAATATGCAGGATTCTTGGGTGTCTAATGACGTAACTGTTTGTCATATGTGACGTCATAGGAAAAAAGAATAGACAGTATAGACCCAGCCGCAGCTGGTCGGTCACGTGGTACGCCATGCTGAGACCTAAGAAACGCAGTGGGGCAACGAGCCCAAATCATTTGAAAGGGCACTTTCCTTTTTTGCTTTGTCCAGTGAGATTTTTTGCGTCTAAGCATGGCGTTTTTAATTTGTAGCACGTGTCTGACAAGTTCAAAGGGCCTATTGGGTATTCGATTCTGGAGGAGCTACACACCCTCCAGTTAAGTCTTGACATCTAATACACTGCCGAATCTGTAAAAAAATCACTAGCTGTTTAGCTCACTTGAAGATGGCAATAAGAAGATTAAGCAGAAGAATATTGGCAACTAGCAGATAAAAAGCCACGATAAACGCCACTATTATGTCTGCGTGCTCGTCTTTTCTTGAGGTGCCGAAAAGAGTTGTGTCGTTGTCAACTGAAATGAAATCACACAAATTAGATCAGTATCCTATTCCTTTATAAATCAAGAATAAATAAAATAAATAATGATTTAGAGGTTGCACATCCACATAGCGGTTGTCCGTTTGCCATTCCTCGTTTAATTGGGATTTGAAAATGTTGGTTTTTTGAGGAGAGGGGAAAACCGGAGTACCCGGAGAAACACCACTCGGAGCAATGGAAAAACCCAACAACAAACGCAACCCACATATGGCGTCGATGCTGGGATTTGAACCCGACCACATTGTTGGGAGGCCTGTGCTCACACCATTGCCCCACCCTTGCTCCTCGAAATGTATTACGTCATTTAACAAGTGCTAGGAGTTCTAAGCCCGTTGAACAAATCGTCTCTATAGCCAGTTAATGCATGGGGCCTTATTTGCAAAAAAGGTTGTTAGTTTAGTTTTACATGATTTCATACGGGACTGTTTTTTGTGAGTTCAAATGGTGATATTTCTGCTTTAAATCATGACGAAGCAGATTATCCTAGATCACTGACAAACTTTGATTTCAAATTATAAATTCACGAATTTGTTTGAAAACATAATAACTGTTGATCTAAAAGTTGCCTCCAATGTTTAAAATGGTAGGTTCATGATTTCAAACCAGGCGATCGACTATTTGATATATCTGACATAATACATTTATCTAAATCGATTTTTATTTCCAAACATGAAAAGCCTGATTATGTTTCAAAAGGCCGCAATGTTTGAAGTAATATATCAAACATGAGATGCAGTGTTTCATCACCAGATGAAACACCGAGAAGAGAGTTGAAAATACGACGCGCAGCGGAGTATTTTTGACGAACTTCGAGGTGTTTCATCTGGTCATGAAACACTGTGTCGAATGTTTGATATTTCTTCTCAAACAAAATCATTTTTGAAGGAGAAATTAAGGATGCAAATACTAAGCAGTGTTTCATCCGATTTCCAAACACTCATTAAACATTAATTTCCGTTGTATTTTCTTAATGAATTATTAATGAGTTTGAGAATTTCTTATGACAAAGTCGTTCCTCTTGACCTTCTATTCGGGACGTTGGTGAGATGCAGGAAAAATAAACTAGAAAAACTCGTCATAATTTCATTTAAGAACCAAACCAATTTCCTGCTGTTGTATCAGGGAATGGGCACTTCAAGAATTCTCACAAGCCTGAGTAGTTAGACTGAACAAACCGTGCTTACTTGTGTCAGGTGTTTCCACGAACAGCTCTCCGTAGACTTGAAAATAAGGCCTGAAGAACACCCCAGACACCACAGACCATGACGGTTCTTCGTTTGGGTGCAGGATAGCTTGCTGGGCGACTCCGTAAGCCAAAAGGAAAATGACCATAATAAGGAGAAAGTACAGCATGTCTATAGTCTGAGAGAAAATGTAACTTAAAATGTTTCTTGTCTCAGTGAGCAATCAGTAACCAAAAGCCAATCACAATGACATTATCAAACACATGAGGTAAATTTTCAACGAGGCGTACCTCAAAGGCATGATAAAACCACACTTACTCAGGCTTCCAATTTTGCTTTTACTTTGAAACGCCTGGTAAGTTTGGTTCAACCGGGCTTAACTTTACAAGGCTCATTAGGCTTTCAACAAAAAGTATGGTGTAAGAGAATATTGTAAATAAGAGTAGTTTAGAGTAACCCCTAAAAGACGACTTTATCTTCTTTACACCGTTTTTATTGGCACTCTGTTGGCTTTTTTCTCAGGTTACTCTCCGGGTGTTCCGGGCGGGACCTCTATATTCTGCCCATTAATTAGTTTATCTCCTAGGGCTGTGCCTGAGCAGATAGGGGTCAGCGGAAGCTTACAATACGTCTCGATTGGTCTCACGTAGGGCTATATTTACAATTTTATAAAGAGCATGCCCGCCCAATAAAGGTGATAGTCGCCCGATCATTTTAATTCACTCGGAACGAACCATCCTCTAAATCGTAACAAAGTATAATTACCATCCTTCCAATCATCACCACGTAAGGTCCCATGTGTTTACTGACAGAAAAAATGTCCAGCAGGCGGACAATCCACAACATGACATCAAAGCAGTACACCACGTGACCTGCACTACGTGTTATTGGGAAAAGCCTGAGACCGAGACCAACGAAAAAAGATACCACAGCGAAGCCATCGAGAATGTTCCATTTACTTGACGCCCATTCTTTGAGTTTATTTTTAAGTGTTGGTGGCTCTGAGTGCAGTATCTAGAACAGTAACATTTCAAAAAATTGGCTTAACTTAAAGTTTTAGGAAAATAAACGTACATCATCAGTTAGCCTTAAATTGCCAGAGCTTCTCTTTAAGTTAACCTGTTTCCAGAGGACGTGTGGTTCACTGCACCGTCACACGGATGTTCTTCCACGGTAAGGGAATAACCACACACGGCTTTTAAACTTGGTAGCGTGAAAGCATTTTAAAGAGAAAATGTTTCACTTTCGGTTGACGTGTGTAGCTCAGAATCGTCTTTGCTTAAGCTCCTTACAATTTCAGGCATAACGTAGGGAGCTTACGCATCGACGACGACAAGGAAATGACAAGGAAGACCACAAGACCACGGGGGAGCAGGGATGGCGCAGTGGTGAGAGCACTCGCCTTCCACCAATGTGGCCCGGGTTCGATTCCCGGACTCGACGTCATATGTGGGTTGAGTTTGTTGTTGGTTCTCTTCTGGGCTCCGAGAGGTTTTTCTGCAGGTACTCCGGTTTTCCCCTCTCCGCAAAAACCAACATTTCTAAATTCCAATTCGATCCGGAATGCTCGAGCGTTTAATACATGAGCCCCTGGCTCGGGAGATTGGGCAACCACTCCTCACGCTTTCGAGCTTAAATAAAATTGATTTGATTTTGATGGGTTTAATAAGCAAAAAAACAAGTCTGCTTAACAGGTTAAACCATTTGGTTCTTTTCTTAGTCTCACTGCACGACTGAGACCTGAAACTTCCTTAATTCACGTTTATGTAGGAAGTGTACTCAAGACAGGTAATAAATGTCCAATTGTCAGCCGTAGAAAACATACACGCAGGAGTCTGAATTTCGATTCTTTAAGCTTAAAGGTCAAATTCAATCGCGGCTTGATTACCTGTCTAATTTCCTCGGTACAAAGTGTGCAAACAAAGATGATGAGCACCATTTCGCTGATGGAAGGGATTTTATCTTGACGAATAAGAATAACATAACTGAAGAGGGCTAGGAAAACCAGGTAGGCAAACTGTAAGCAAATCAAAAGAAAAACATAAATTAAAAACTACGTGGATCTATTTTAGGGGATATGCTACAGGTCAAAGTAAAATTCAGGTTACAATTTTTAACCTAGGTTGATTCTCAATTTCCTTTGATTCCTAGCCCTATTTAGTCATGAATCAGGGCTAGGAGACAAAAGAAATTGAGAATCAACTTTGATTTAACCTGAATTTAATTTCCACCTGTGACAGATATACTTTTGGTCATTTTAGTAAACCAAACCATTCTTTATTTTCACAATGTACCCACTTATAGTGAGGTGTTCAGTAATAATTACGCAGTACATTATCTGTATCACAATGGTCAGTCATGCAACTCATCGTCTTAGGAAGACACTGAACATTAAGCACTGTCGAAACGTGGCGATTTACTCATCTCCAATCAATACATGGTGAGAACGATCGACAACTTTCATTATTATTGTAACTTGTTCCAAAACGATGAACCTTTTTCTAGGACATATATTTATAATTTATTGACCAAAATCCAATACGAAGAGTTTTCAACTATCACTTGACCGCCTTTCCTTTGAGCTGATAAGCCACTACGCTGTCTTCCGAACACTCGAATTATATTGGCCAGTTTAAACCGCGGCTTATAATACTTCATTCCTCGATTGACATGACACTTCTATTGACTGCCGGAATTCAGCAACTGTGCTCGTAACTTATCAGTCTTGAATTCTATAAATCCAGGACATTCTCACCTACCTGAAATAGTTGGCATTTTTATTCGTTGCCTACAATAATGTTCCAGAATCATCCGAAAATCCGGCTTAATTAAATGTATCCTACCAGGAATGGTTGGGCTGTGTTGCTAATTTTTCTCAGTTTCAGCCGGAACGCATGTTAGAGACTACAATTGAGAGGCATAGCTAGGATTTTTCAAAGGGGGGATCACACTGTGTCACACTTGGAGTGCTTAGCAGACTGGCATGTCGACATCCACGCTGTGTTTTTCAAAAAGTGACATTTTTTCGGACGAGCAGTGAGCGTTGGGAGAGGGACAAGCCTACAACATCAACATAGCTGCAATGATGAATTAAGTTTCACGTAACATAAATTACTCTATTTTAGTCTCACTGCTCATCGGTCAAAATATCTGTTAGTAAGAGGCGGAGAGAATGCTTAGTGGCATAGATGTCATGTTGTCTCACAAAGGGGGGTCACAGGTATCCTAGGATCCTTCTAGCTACGCCCCTGAGCTGCTTGTTTTCTGCACGATCAATTGAGATTTCGACCAGCGCAAAGCAGTTGTTTCACGTCTGCACTAACAATCATTGCACCACAAATTCCTTTATTGCCCATAAAATGGCCGTGTTTAGCAGCGCGAATAATTTATATTTTTTGGTCATTGGCGTTAACTAACGTATTTATTCGATTAACCGCCCTGGGCACTTATTAAATTTTTGGACCTTGAGAGTGGGTGCTTATTCGAGGTGGGCGCTTATTAGAGGCTGGGCGCCTATTAAATTTTCACAATTTTAATAAGTGTAGTACGCTTATTTTGCAACAAAACAATAAATGGTAATAATAAAACTCAAAGATTTAACAAAGAAAGGTTTCTGTAAAATACTCTGAAGAAAACTCCGTCTTCGGGGAAGTCTCTTATTAGTACTTCTTCAATTTTTTTTCGGTTGGAAGGTGAAAGGGGATGGGGTCGGGGTGGGCGCTTATTCGAGGTGGGCGCTTATTCGAGGTTGGGCGCTTATTCGAATAAATACGGTATGTCACTTTTAATGTGCTCACCACGTTGGACCAAAATTTAGTAACAGGTGCCTTGTAGAACTCCAGTAGTTTCTTTCCCCAGCGCAAATGCACAACACGAGTTTCTTGTCTCCAGTCCTGGTGATTGGGAATCCTGCGAAAATCCCTTGGTATTGAAGCGGCTGATCTGAACTTTGGCTCTGAAAATGTTCTTAAAAAATAAGGTAGGGGACATGAATAATCTTTCCCTCTTATTCATGGGATGATGGGTTTCAATTTCATGAAA